GCCGGACGTGATCGCGGGGCGCGCCGCTGCGGGCAGTCCGCGCCCCTCCCGCCAGGGGTGCAACACGCGGCGCGACCCCAGGCGCCTCCCTGCAGCGTCGACTCAACCGAGTTCATCCGCGACGCATGGCGCCACCACGGAACGAGGCATCATCGATTAGTTAACGCGAACCTTTTTTTTTTACAAAAAAAAATTCTCCCTGAACTTTGTCAATCCGCTGCCGGATGAAGGTCTCAATAACGCCGTGCGTTTAATCACAAATCACTCGCCACTCACTGATGGTGGCCGTGGCCGAGTATATAACTCAGGTTGTCGCGTTCATAGCACAGAGCGCTTAACCACCGCGCCCCAGACAAACACCATTCCCCGTTGCGCCGCCGAGGTCGTCCATCGGGGTTAGTGTTCTCCTCCTTGAGCGGTTCTCCACGTAGCGGCCGTTCCGCGCACGTGTTCTCATTGACGGTTCAGGCGATGGCCCTTTTCCATGGCATTAACATCGAGAGGAGAGAAAGACGGAGTGCATGGTCGTCTTCAATATCAGCCGCAAACACACACGCACGTTCGTGTAAGCACTCGCACACCGTGAATACGTGCGGCTGTTGTACACTGGAATGGAACCTGTGGCCTAATCAGAGCTCTCAAAACTCAGATGCTAAGCTGGGTTGCGTCTGGATAGCGCTTGGATGGCGCTTGGATGTGTGACAACCGTGCATGAGACGTGTTGTGGGCTGCTGCTGGTGTGGTGCCGGCGAGACTACGTTGTCAGCAGAGGGCAGTGCAGATTGTTTTTGTTTCTCTCCCTCCCCATGTCTCCGAGCTCTCCCCGTGTCTGCCCGTTTCTCAGTGTTCTTCCCGTGTCTTTCAGTGTCTCCGTACTATCTGCGTGCCTTCGCGTTCTCTCCGTGTCCCCCGTGTCTCCGCACTCTCCCCGTGTCTCCGCGCCCCCTCCACGCGTGGGTGACTTTCCGAGCCTGTGTCGGGCAAAAGCACGGCACGCGGCCACCGCGAGTCTGAGTCGACAAGAAGCGATTTCTCGCCGAAAACCCTTCCGTCAATACATCCGATTGGCAATTGTGCAATACAAAGGAACGAGATCGGGGTTTTAATATCGGTGCTCATCAGCACGCCCTAATTGGCTGCGCGATTATTGACTTGGCGCGTGAAGAAGAGGCCGCCGCCATCCACCGTGCCGAGGCAGCGCGAATACCTCCACCCGGCTCGCCACTCGGCCCACGCGGACTCCCTCGCGTGTTTCTCTCCGCGTCAACAACTCGAACGTGTTAAGAACATCGATTTCGCGAGCCCGTCGCTTCTGCGATCGCGATGCTGCTCTTCACCGTCATCCGATAATCTCACCCTGATCCGGAAGAACGCGGACACTTAGAATAAACACCTCATTCGAGATCCAAACATTATCGCACCACCTCCTGGCTTTGGCATTCCTCCTCGTAGACCATCAGCCGCATCAGAACATCACCAGGCCGATGCGCAGCCATCTCCTTCATGAATGGAAAGTTCAAGACAAGGTCCAGCAGTGCGATTGTGGCCATGCAAGCCACACTATGGACCGCACAGTAAACCCACTGTGGTTAGCGCTCCTTCAACGGAGGAAAATCAAAACGACACGAACTCCCTCTCTCTCTCTGCTCATTAACATATTGCTGCTGCTGTCATCGTGCGCAAGAACAGAAGAGTCAAGCGGAGCACGGGCTTGCCGAGAGCAGCGCGGGAGTCGTGGCTATCCGGACCGCCCCCGACTCGCCACGGCCCAGGGACGCCCACAACAACTGTGCATGGAGAGAACTCCCGGTATTCGCGAGTCCGCGTGAATCCCAACATAACAAAGGCGACGTCGATGCTGGAGCCATTCATTACACAGCAACGCAATCACAGCAGGCTCCGTACCGAGTCAGCAGCCAGGAGATGCGCAGACTTCAAAATGAGTTTAAAATAAGTCATCTACTCTACATATATCTGGCCCTTCACATCGAAAATTGAACATTATTTTTGCACATCCCATCAGCCACGCGGCCATCAACGCAAGAAAACTCTGGACGGGTTCCATCAGCAGTCAGGCTCGCTTGGATCAATGCTGCAGGTAAACTTCCAGACGTTGATTATAGGCGAGGCCCCTTTCTATTAGATATGGGTACTAGTTGTACGCAAACATCTATAACTCATGACTGGCAGACTGTAATCAATCTTGGGCACGACTCGGCTCTGGGAGCTCTGGAGTTCTGGCTCAATCTAGCCGGATTAAAGCCACGCGCTTAACTTGAGCCGACTCTGAGCTCAAGATTTCCATGAGCCGAGCCATGGCCGAGCCGCTCACTCGCGCGTCTTTGGAAGAAGCGGCCGAGGTGTGGCTCCAGCCTGAGCCGCGCCGTGGGAATGCGGCCCCCCCCGAGTGGTTGCACGGCGGGAGGCGCGGGGCCGGAGAGCGTCCGGCGCCACCTGGCGGGAGAGCGGCCGCATCGCCGCCTCCGCGTGGTCGTCCCAGCAAAAATGTCTCGGGCCAGACTGCTTGCGGCTCACGCAGTGAGCAACGAGGCACCCGGCGCTCAACTTCTGTCTAGTGCTCTGCGCCAGTGACGGAAAATCTACATTGCTATGACAGGCATGAGTCTATCCGTAGGACAACCACCACTGACCTCCCCGATTAGCGCAGTTGGCTACGTACGGTGCGAACAAGGTTCAACATATATAAACAGATCACGGGCTGAGCCAACCCACTCACCAAGGAGTTGAACTCGCAACTTTCCGATTGCGATTTGCTCGCTCGACCGCTGAGCTCCCTGGCCGGGTCAATGAACACAAACTCATCGTCATCATCACGATCCGTGGGGCAGACAGCACGTAGGTATCCACTGCACATCGTGTAAGTTGTTTCCACTTTCTTCTGTCTTGTGCCAATATGCTCAAGCAGTGCTACATTTTTCTGGCACCAATCTCGTATGGCGTCAAACGCAACACATTCGTAAATAGCCCTGCCCTGGAGAGAAGGGTTTGTGTAATAGGCGACGCTTCGGGCAACGGCCCTGTTATCACGAGTTACAGAAAAGATGGTTTTACGTGAGCCGCCGCATCCAGCGTTCGCTCTCAATGTCTCGCTCGGGCCAACTGCCAAACGCAGTGAACCTCCACGGCTTCGGGACCCGAGGCTCGCTGCGAGGCCGGGGCGTTGAGATGCGCATGGGAAGGGGCCAAGACGCGACCCAATTCTGCGTCTTCATGGCTCCGACATCACTCACCCGTCTCCTCCCATAACAACAACAGCCGCCGTTCGCCACTAAGTGGCGGTGACGTCACCACGGCGCTTGTGCCAGGCCAGGTGCACTTTTAGGCCGCGTGAAGTGTCGAAGGCTCGCTGACAAGAGGTCACGGGATAGACCCAGGTGCCACGGGTTGACTGAGGTGACTGGCTGATGCACCAGCAGTGCCCTCTACTGTGCCGACTCGCTGTGTTTTATCTGCCCGTGCTCCGCTTGTTGATGTGAGCGTCGCTCCTCTACCCTCCGTTGTCGCTGGAAGGCGACTGCCTCCAACTGCCCAGTAGCAGCAGCGTCCTTCACGAGCCTCCTCCACAGAGGCCGATCTTGACACCGCTGGCACCAGCACACCGGTGGAACCATCCACCGCATCAGAACATCAACAACGGGCCGATGCGCAAATCCCATCTCCGTAATGAATCGTAAATTAAAGAAACCCCAAACCAGAGGAGTGCGATTGTGGCCATGCCACCAAAATGACTGACCACATAGTAAACTACTGTAGTCTGTGCTCCTTTAACGGAGGAGAAACAGCAAGACGAACTTTAACTCCTTAAGCCTTGTCGTCGTGACCAGCAGACCCTGGGCATTGTAGTCTAGCTCGTGAACGCATTGCTGCTGCCAACGTGGGCTACACCACGGTGACGAGATGTTAACTACCTCCCCTGGTACACAGGAGGTCGTGGGATATATCCCGACCCTGACTGCTGTATATTTGGAGCCTGTTTGTTCTCCCCGTGGTCGCGTGAATTTTCTCCAGGTTTACCCTCCACATTTAGAATCAACATCACGCGTCTAGAGTATTTGGCTGCTCTAAAAAAAATCAGCATGATAAGCCACTCTGTTGAGCGAGGCAGCTTCGGAAAAAGAGCTACACAGAGCTCAGTGGGCCTCACCTGGTAAAATAAAAACGTGATATGGAACTCGACAGAGACGCGGAATGTCGCATGGGCAGCAAAGCGCAGTGAGCGGCGGTCGTGGTGGAGGGAGGCGCTCGGAGAGGACGCGTTCAGCTACAACCATCTCTAAACTCGCAACTAGATTTATTCTAAACAGTAAGGCCCACTGAGCGATATAGCTCTTCTTCAGAAGCGACCTGGCCACAATTTACAAATGATAGCTCAACGATGTGGCTCGTCATGTGGACATTTATAGCACCAACATAATCTAAATGCGGAGGAAAAAAACCAGAAGACCCGGAGGAAAATCCACGCGGCCACTGGGGGAGCGACGCTGCAAACTCCAAATATACCGAAGACGTCAGGGTCGGGGTCGAACCCACGACCTCTTGTATACCAGGCAAGGGATTGAACATCTCGCCACGGCAGCGACCCATTGCACTTAGATGAGCTCCTTCATTATAGAACACACGCAGAGTCATGACATTACAACTCAAAGCGGGTGTATTGTATATGTACAATACATATAATAGGCGACGTTTCGTGCAATGGCCCTATTTCATTGACACGTGATGTTCGTGGTGCGTGGCGTTATGTATCCATCAGCGAGCGGGGACGTCACGTACCCGGTTGTTAGCGGTGACGTCACCGCGCCAGCTGTAAGAGTGACGTCAGGCGACCAGTTGCGAGTGGTGACGTCGCCGCACTAGCTGCAAACGTGACGTCATACTCCCAGCTGTGAGTGATGTCACCACGCCAGCTGAACAGCGACGTCATAGTACCGGTTGCGAGGTATGACGTCTCGCGCTCGGTTACCATGACGACTCCGCGTCCCCCGGTCGCGTCCGCCCAGCGTTAAGGAGCGGCGACCGAGAAGACGTCGGAGACGTGAGGAGACGTGAGGAGACGTGAGGAGACGTGAGGAGAAGTGGGAGACGTGAGGAGACGTGAGGAGACGTGAGGAGACGTGAGGAGAAGTGGGAGACGTGAGTAGAAGTGGGAGACGTGAGGAGACGTGGGGGACGTGGGAGACGTGAGAAGTGGGAGACGTGAGGAGACGTGGGAGACGTGAGGAGACGTGAGGAGAAGTGGGAGACGTGAGGAGACGTGAGAAGTGGGAGACGTGAGGAGACGTGGGGGACGTGGGAGACGTGAGAAGTGGGAGACGTGAGAAGTGGGAGACGTGAGGAGACGTGGGAGACGTGAGGAGACGTGAGGAGAAGTGGGAGACGTGAGGAGACGTGGGAGACGTGGGAGACGTGAGGAGACGTGAGGAGACGTGAGGAGACGTGGGAGACGTGAGGAGACGTGGGAGACGTGGGAGACGTGAGGAGACGTGAGGAGAAGTGGGAGACGTGAGGAGACGTGAGGAGAAGTGGGAGACGTGAGGAGACGTGAGGAGAAGTGGGAGACGTGAGGAGAAGTGGGAGACGTGAGGAGACGTGAGGAGAAGTGGGAGACGTGAGGAGACGTGAGGAGAAGTGGGAGACGTGAGGAGACGTGGGGGACGTGGGAGACGTGAGGAGAAGTGGGAGACGTGAGGAGAAGTGGGAGACGTGAGGAGACGTGGGAGACGTGAGGAGACGTGAGGAGACGTGAGGAGAAGTGGGAGACGTGAGGAGAAGTGGGAGACGTGAGGAGACGTGAGGAGAAGTGGGAGACGTGAGGAGAAGTGGGAGACGTGAGGAGACGTGGGAGACGTGGGAGACGTGAGGAGACGTGAGGAGAAGTGGGAGACGTGAGGAGAAGTGGGAGACGTGAGGAGACGTGAGGAGAAGTGGGAGACGTGAGGAGACGTGAGGAGAAGTGGGAGACGTGAGGAGAAGTGGGAGACGTGAGGAGACGTGAGGAGACGTGAGGAGACGTGGGAGACGTGAGGAGACGTGGGAGACGTGAGGAGACGTGAGGAGACGTGAGGAGAAGTGGGAGACGTGAGGAGACGTGGGAGACGTGGGAGACGTGAGGAGACGTGAGGAGAAGTGGGAGACGTGAGGAGAAGTAGGAGACGTGAGGAGACGTGAGGAGACGTGAGGAGAAGTGGGAGACGTGAGGAGACGTGAGGAGAAGTGGGAGACGTGAGGAGACGTGAGGAGACGTGAGGAGAAGTGGGAGACGTGAGGAGACGTGAGGAGAAGTGGGAGACGTGAGGAGACGTGAGGAGAAGTGGGAGACGTGAGGAGACGTGAGGAGACGTTGGGAGACGTGAGGAGACGTGAGGAGACGTGGGGGACGTGGGAGACGTGAGGAGACGTGAGGAGACGTGAGGAGAAGTGGGAGACGTGAGGAGACGTGAGGAGAAGTGGGAGACGTGAGGAGACGTGAGGAGACGTGAGGAGACGTGGGGGACGTGAGGAGAAGTGGGAGACGTGAGGAGAAGTGGGAGACGTGAGGAGACGTGAGGAGAAGTGGGAGACGTGAGGAGACGTGAGGAGACGTGAGGAGACGTGGGGGACGTGAGGAGACGTGAGGAGACGTGAGGAGACGTGAGGAGACGTGGGGGACGTGGGAGACGTGAGGAGACGTGAGGAGACGTGGGGGACGTGGGAGACGTGAGGAGACGTGAGGAGACGTGAGGAGACGTGAGGAGACGTGAGGAGAAGTGGGAGACGTGAGGAGACGTGAGGAGACGTGGGAGACGTGAGGAGACGTGGGAGACGTGGGAGACGTGAGGAGACGTGAGGAGACGTGGGAGACGTGAGGAGAAGTGGGAGACGTGAGGAGACGTGAGGAGACGTGGGGGACGTGGGAGACGTGAGGAGAAGTGGGAGACGTGGGGGACGTGGGAGACGTGAGGAGAAGTGGGAGACGTGAGGAGACGTGAGGAGAAGTGGGGGACGTGAGGAGACGTGAGGAGACGTGAGGAGAAGTGGGAGACGTGAGGAGAAGTGGGAGACGTGAGGAGACGTGAGGAGACGTGAGGAGAAGTGGGAGACGTGAGGAGACGTGGGGGACGTGGGAGACGTGAGGAGACGTGAGGAGACGTGAGGAGACGTGAGGAGAAGTGGGAGACGTGAGGAGAAGTGGGAGACGTGAGGAGAAGTGGGAGACGTGAGGAGACGTGGGGGACGTGGGAGACGTGAGGAGAAGTGGGAGACGTGGGAGACGTGAGGAGACGTGAGGAGACGTGAGGAGAAGTGGGAGACGTGAGGAGACGTGAGGAGACGGAGGAGAAGTGGGAGACGTGAGGAGACGTGAGGAGAAGTGGGAGACGTGAGGAGACGTGAGGAGAAGTGGGAGACGTGAGGAGACGTGAGGAGACGTGAGGAGACGTGGGGGACGTGAGGAGAAGTGGGAGACGTGAGGAGAAGTGGGAGACGTGAGGAGACGTGAGGAGAAGTGGGAGACGTGAGGAGACGTGAGGAGACGTGAGGAGACGTGGGGGACGTGAGGAGACGTGAGGAGACGTGAGGAGACGTGAGGAGACGTGGGGGACGTGGGAGACGTGAGGAGACGTGAGGAGACGTGGGGGACGTGGGAGACGTGAGGAGACGTGAGGAGACGTGAGGAGACGTGAGGAGAAGTGGGAGACGTGAGGAGACGTGAGGAGACGTGGGAGATGTGAGGAGACGTGGGAGACGTGGGAGACGTGAGGAGACGTGAGGAGACGTGGGAGACGTGAGGAGAAGTGGGAGACGTGAGGAGACGTGAGGAGACGTGGGGGACGTGGGAGACGTGAGGAGAAGTGGGAGACGTGGGGGACGTGGGAGACGTGAGGAGAAGTGGGAGACGTGAGGAGACGTGAGGAGAAGTGGGGGACGTGAGGAGACGTGAGGAGACGTGAGGAGAAGTGGGAGACGTGAGGAGACGTGAGGAGAAGTGGGAGACGTGAGGAGACGTGAGGAGACGTGAGGAGAAGTGGGAGACGTGAGGAGACGTGGGGGACGTGGGAGACGTGAGGAGACGTGAGGAGACGTGAGGAGACGTGAGGAGAAGTGGGAGACGTGAGGAGAAGTGGGAGACGTGAGGAGAAGTGGGAGACGTGAGGAGACGTGGGGGACGTGGGAGACGTGAGGAGAAGTGGGAGACGTGAGGAGACGTGGGAGACGTGGGAGACGTGAGGAGACGTGAGGAGACGTGAGGAGAAGTGGGAGACGTGAGGAGACGTGAGGAGACGTGAGGAGAAGTGGGAGACGTGAGGAGACGTGAGGAGAAGTGGGAGACGTGAGGAGAAGTGGGAGACGTGAGGAGACGTGAGGAGAAGTGGAGACGTGAGGAGACGTGAGGAGACGTGAGGAGAAGTGGGAGACGTGAGGAGACGTGAGGAGAAGTGGGAGACGTGAGGAGAAGTGGGAGACGTGAGGAGACGTGAGGAGACGTGAGGAGACGTGGGGGACGTGGGAGACGTGAGGAGACGTGAGGAGACGTGAGGAGACGTGAGGAGACGTGGGGGACGTGGGAGACGTGAGGAGACGTGAGGAGACGTGGGGGACGTGAGGAGACGTGAGGAGACGTGAGGAGACGTGGGGGACGTGGGAGACGTGAGGAGACGTGAGGAGACGTGAGGAGACGTGGGGGGACGTGGGGGACGTGGGAGACGTGAGGAGACGTGGGAGACGTGAGGGACGTGGGAGACGTGAGGAGAAGTGGGAGACGTGGGGGACGTGGGAGACGTGAGGAGAAGTGGGAGACGTGAGGAGACGTGAGGAGAAGTGGGGGACGTGAGGAGACGTGAGGAGACGTGAGGAGACGTGAGGAGACGTGAGGAGACGTGGGGGGACGTGGGAGACGTGAGGAGACGTGAGGAGACGTGAGGAGACGTGGGAGACGTGAGGAGACGTGAGGAGACGTGGGGGACGTGGGAGACGTGAGGAGACGTGAGAAGACGTGGGGGACGTGAGGAGACGTGAGGAGACGTGAGGAGACGTGGGGGACGTGGGAGACGTGAGGAGACGTGAGGAGACGTGAGGAGACGTGGGGGGACGTGGGGGACGTGGGAGACGTGAGGAGACGTGGGAGACGTGAGGGACGTGGGAGACGTGAGGAGAAGTGGGAGACGTGGGGGACGTGGGAGACGTGAGGAGAAGTGGGAGACGTGAGGAGACGTGAGGAGAAGTGGGGGACGTGAGGAGACGTGAGGAGACGTGAGGAGACGTGAGGAGACGTGAGGAGACGTGGGGGGACGTGGGAGACGTGAGGAGACGTGAGGAGACGTGAGGAGACGTGGGAGACGTGAGGAGACGTGAGGAGACGTGGGGGGACGTGGGGGACGTGGGAGACGTGAGGAGACGTGGGAGACGTGGGGGACGTGAGGAGACGTGAGGAGACGTGGGGGGACGTGAGGAGACGTGGGGGACGTGAGGAGACGTGGGGGACGTGGGGGACGTGGGAGACGTGAGGAGACGTGAGGAGACGTGAGGAGACGTGGGAGACGTGAGGAGACGTGAGGAGACGTGGGAGACGTGAGGAGACGTGAGGAGACGTGGGAGACGTGAGGAGACGTGAGGAGAAGTGGGAGACGTGAGGAGACGTGAGGAGAAGTGGGAGACGTGAGGAGACGTGAGGAGACGTGGGGAACGTGGGAGACGTGAGGAGACGTGAGGAGACGTGAGGAGACGTGGGGGACGTGGGAGACGTGAGGAGACGTGAGGAGACGTGAGGGGACGTGGGAGACGTGGGAGACGTGAGGAGACGTGAGGAGACGTGAGGAGACGTGGGGGACGTGAGGAGACGTGGGAGACGTGAGGAGACGTGAGGAGACGTGGGGGACGTGAGGAGACGTGAGGAGACGTGAGGAGACGTGGGGGACGTGAGGAGACGTGGGAGACGTGAGGAGACGTGAGGAGACGTGGGGGACGTGAGGAGACGTGAGGAGACGTGAGGAGACGTGGGGGACGTGGGGGGACGTGGGGGGACGTGGGAGACGTGAGGATACGTGAGGAGACGTGGGAGACGTGGGGGATGTGAGGAGACATGAGGAGACGTGAGGAGACGTGGGAGACGTGGGAGACGTGGGGGATGTGAGGAGACGTGAGGAGACGTGAGGAGACGTGAGGAGACGTGAGGAGACGTGAGGAGAAGTGGGAGACGTGAGGAGACGTGGGAGACGTGAGGAGACGTGAGGAGACGTGGGAGACGTGAGGAGACGTTAGGAGACGTGGGAGACGTGGGGGATGTGAGGAGACGTGAGGAGACGTGAGGAGACGTGAGGAGACGTGGGGGACGTGGGGGGACGTGGGGGGACGTGGGGGACGTGGGAGACGTGAGGAGACGTGAGGAGACGTGGGAGACGTGGGAGACGTGGGGGATGTGAGGAGACGTGAGGAGACGTGGGAGACGTGGGGGACGTGAGGGACGTGAGGAGACGTGAGGAGACGTGAGGAGACGTGGGGGACGTGAGGAGACGTGGGAGACGTGAGGGGACGTGAGGAGACGTGAGGAGACGTGAGGAGACGTGAGGAGACGTGAGGAGACGTGAGGAGACGTGGAAGACGTGAGGGGACGTGAGGAGACGTGGGAGACGTGAGGAGACGTGGGGGACGTGGGAGACGTGAGGGGACGTGGGGGACGTGGGAGACGTGAGGAGACGTGGGAGACGTGAGGAGACGTGGGAGACGTGAGGAGACGTGGGGGACGTGGGAGACGTGAGGGGACGTGGGAGACGTGGGGGACGTGGGGGACGTGAGGAGACGTGGGGGACGTGGGAGACGTGGGGGACGTGGGGGACGTGGGAGACGTGGGAGACGTGGGGGACGTGGGGGACGTGGGAGACGTGAGGGGACGTGGGAGACGTGGGGAGACGTGAGGGGACGTGGGAGACGTGAGGGGACGTGAGGAGACGTGGGAGACGTGGGGGACGTGGGGGACGTGGGGGACGTGGGGGGACGTGGGGGACGTGTGGGACGTGGGAGACGTGAGGGACGTGGGGGACGTGGGAGACGTGAGGGACGTGGGGGACGTGGGGGACGTGGGGGACGTGGGGGACGTGGGGGACGTGAGGGACGTGGGGACGTGGGGGACGTGGGGACGTGGGGGGACGTGGGGGACGAGAGGGACGTGGGAGACGTGAGGGGATGTGAGGGACGTGGGGAGACGTGAGGGGACGTGGGAGACGTGAGGGGACGTGGGAGACGTGAGGGGACGTGGGAGACGTGAGGGGACGTGGGAGACGTGAGGGGACGTGGGAGACGTGGGGAGACGTGAGGGGACGTGGGAGACGTGAGGGGACGTGGGAGACGTGAGGGGACGTGGGAGACGTGAGGGGACGTGGGAGACGTGGGGAGACGTGGGGGACGTGGGAGACGTGAGGGGACATGGGAGACGTGGGGGACGTGGGAGACGTGAGGGGACGTGGGAGACGTGGGGGACGTGGGAGACGTGGGGGACGTGAGGAGACGTGAGGAGACGTGGGGGACGTGGGAGACGTGGGGGACGTGGGGGGACGTGAGGAGACGTGAGGAGACGTGAGGGACGTGAGGGACGTGAGGGGACGTGAGGAGACGTGGGGGACGTGGGAGACGTGGGGGACGTGAGGAGACGTGAGGAGACGTGAGGGACGTGAGGGACGTGAGGGACGTGAGGGACGTGAGGGACGTGAGGGACGTGAGGGACGTGAGGGACGTGAGGGACGTGAGGGACGTGAGGGACGTGAGGGACGTGAGGGACGTGAGGGGACGTGAGGGGACGTGGGGGATGTGAGGGGACGTGGGGGACGTGGGAGACGTGGGAGACGTGGGGGACGTGAGGAGACGTGAGGAGACGTGAGGAGACGTGAGGAGACGTGGGGGATGTGAGGGGACGTGGGGGACGTGGGAGACGTGGGGGACGTGAGAGTGGTGTGAGAGGGAGTGCGAGCGGAGTCGGGAGAGAGGAGAGAGTGGAGTGAGTGAGTGAATGGGAGAGAGGAGAGAGTGAGTGAGTGGAGTGAGTGAATGGTAGAGAGGAGAGAGTGAGTGAATGGGAGAGAGAGAGAGTGAGTGAGTGGAGTGAGTGAATGGGAGAGAGGAGAGAGAGAGAGTGAGTGAGTGGAGTGAGTGAATGGGAGAGAGGAGAGAGTGAGTGAATGGGAGAGAGAGAGAGAGTGAGTGGAGTGAGTGAATGGGAGAGAGGAGAGAGAGAGTGAGTGAGTGAGAGAGTGGGTGAGTGAATGGGAGAGAGGAGAGAGTGAGTGAATGGGAGAGAGAGAAAGTGAGTGAGTGGAGTGAGTGAATGGGAGAGAGGAGAGAGAGAGAGAGTGAGTGAGTGGAGTGAGTGAATGGGAGAGAGGAGAGAGTGAGTGAATGGGAGAGAGAGAGAGTGAGTGGAGTGAGTGAATGGGAGAGAGGAGAGAGAGAGTGAGTGAGTGAGAGAGTGGGTGAGTGAATGGGAGAGAGGAGAGAGTGAGTGAATGGGAGAGAGAAAAAGTGAGTGAGTGGAGTGAGTGAATGGGAGAGAGGAGAGAGTGAGTGAATGGGAGAGAGGAGAGAGTGAGTGAGTGGAGTGAGTGAATGGGAGAGAGGAGAGAGTGAGTGAGTGGAGTGAGTGAGTGATTGGGAGAGAGGAGAGAGAGAGTGAGTGAGTGGAGTGAGTGAATGGGAGAGAGGAGAGAGTGAGTGAGAGGAGTGAGTGAGTGATTGGGAGAGAGGAGAGAGTAAGTGGAGTGAGTGAGCGAGTGACGGGCGAGGGTGAGGAGTGGTAGGTGAGTGTGAGTAGAGCGGTGAGGAGGAGGTGTGGGGTGGAGTGAGACGCTCCCTCCAGTCTATCATCAACGTATTCGACCAGGATATTTATCAGTTAAACATGTCGGCTTTTGCGACCAATATTATTCATAAGGGTTTTTGGGTTAGATCGCGTAAGTATAAATGTGTCGTAACCCTCCACAACATTTATCATTTACTCTCCAACACACCGGTGGGCTGAAGTAGTAACTAATTGGCGCGTTGTTTTCGTGACAAACCTCACTGGCTGTGTCGGGTGGTGGAGGGTTACGACACATTTATACTTACGCGATCTAACCCAAAAACCTTTATTGTGAACAGGATATTTATCTCCACCGCCGTATCATCTGTCAGGAGATCTTCCAGAATTATCTATCGGATCCACCTGGAGGAGATCAGTGAGGCGCCCTCGAGCCGGGAGCCATGGGAGCCATGGTGAGCGCTGTCTCGACGCCTCCCCGGGGAGGGCCCTCGTGTCAAGAGCCGAGTGGCCACGCCGTCTGCAGTATGACGAAATCGGCGTTCAGCGCTCCCGTGGTTACCGTGGTGGCGAGATGTTAACTCCCTCGCCTGGTATGCAGGGGGTCGTGGATTCGATCCCGACCCTGACGCCTGCTCAGTGGCGGCTCCTGCAAAATCTCTCAGAGGGGGCAAATGTCTGGATGATTGATAAGGATAAGGTCCACCCATGCAATGGATAAATTAACAGCTTAAGCATTTAAAGGCAACTTCACTTCTTTAATATTAATGCAAAATAAAGTGACTCTTACAATACATCTTGTTTGTTTCTATACTCACTATTATTACAATCCACTCAGTTTCTTTTATTAAAGATTCCACTAGGTGGCGACAAATAATATTGTTGGATGAAACGTGCTTACGTATGATAACGTAAGCACGTTAGTGCGAGCCCTCCCGGAAGCCATAGAGAATACATTGCAGCGCCCGCCGTTCGAAAAAAAAACATCTTTGAATGTAAGTCTATGGGAACACTCTGGGCGATTCTCAGCCGGAGTGAAATCGCCCAAAAAGAGGCGGTACTTCACAGAACGTAGCATGACGCTGATTGGACTATATCCAGAGGCACAGTAACGGCTCGCGAAACTCTGTGGTTGAATGACATTGGTGGTGCGTCGCCCAATCGCCCTAATGAAGAAACCGCCCCTGCGCCTGCTGTATATTTGGTGTTTGCGTGTCTTTCTCCCCGTGGTCGTGTGGATTTTTCTCCGGATCCTGCGGTTTTTTTCCCTCCACATTTAGAATGAACATCATGCTTTTAGAGTATTTGTGGCCAGGTCACTTCTGAAAAATAGCTATACAGCTCAGTGGGCCTTACCTGGTAAAATGTAAATAGGTAGTTATTCTGCATTGTCCCAGCCTGTGGTAAATCTTCTGAGGACAGAGACGTTTCTCTCGATCTGGGTTTCAAACGTCTCCATGTCTTCTCCATGTTCACCTTGTCATCGACATTCTCATCTGTTCTCCCTTTCGCACCCTTTACTCACTCTGTTACACAATGAGCAACTTTATAAAATTAACTTCACAGATGTGGGGACATTTTATACCTTGGGCCGGGATAAATGAGTTGGTGAGCCGATTTATACCAACATTTCCTAATTAGGAACTGTTGGTATAAACATTGTGGAGAAGTGACAGCACTTGCCTTGTGTGTGTGTGTGGTGACTGTGCAGGATAATGAAGAATTGAGGCTGACGACTGAGGAAGAGCTGTTGTTGAGCACGGCATTCGACGAAGATTTGCACATTAGCCTGTCGCGGTCTTACGAGTCGGACGTGGAGAACCTTCAAGAAAGGAAATACCAAGAGGAGCTCCTCAAGAGAATTAACTTCAACCAGCGGCAGCTCAACCACAAACGCATCGCGGGCTCGAGCCAGTCTCGCGAGTCGGCGAGCAGCACTGACTCGGGCAGCAATGCCCTCCCTCCGCTACCGTACGTGGAACACATGCACGGCGACGACCCGGGGAGCGGGCGCGCAGCGTGTGGAGGGCACGGAGTTCGTGGGGGACATGGAGCTCATGGTGGGGGGCACGGAGCTCGTGTAGACGTAAACGCGCTGCTCCAGAGGGATAGCTTGGATTACGCGTCTGGCGAGGAGGAATCCACCACGGACACCGACGCAGAGGAGCAAGCCGTGGTGGGATTCGTGGATGGCGGCGCTGATGACATTTCCGAAGACGGCTTGGGATTTGAAAACGACTTCATCAGAGACGCCTCGACGCCCTTGCAGAGAAATCACGATTCTGTGCACCTGAGCGAGTCCCAAGGAGACACGTCGGAGTTCGGCTCCAGTGATGAGATTATGCCGCGCAGCGCGAATCCCGATGGGCAAAACGAACACGCAAGAAAAATGCGCGGTGCACATTTGGGACCAACTGAGAAAGTGGCCAGTTTTAGTAAAGTTAAGTTTGCGGAGTCCGAGTTAAAATATAGTTTATCCGTGGACGAGAACCAGCAGCAGCAGGTGGCTCAGAGGCTGGGCACCCCATACCACGCAGAGCACAAGGAGGAGGCACGGGTAATCGAGCGTCACGAAGGACCGGAAGATCCGAGAGATCGTCGACATCAGAAGAGAGAGGTCGCAAGGAACTCGAGGAATAAGCTGCCTGAGATCGTACGTGACGGGGAACCCCGCAGGGAGAAGGAGCATTTGCTTGTGGAAGAACACACGGCAGAGGAGAGCGATGAATATTATCTCAACGGAGTGAAGCAAGATCCCTTGCCCAGTGCTCCGAGACGGAAAAGGAATCGATCCAAACCGCCGGAGCGTATGGCCGTGACAGATCAAGGGAGGCATGACAAGTCAGTGGAATTCCCGTCCAGGACAGGCATCGCAGCAAGGGATGTAGAGAGCTCGAGACGGGTCACACTTAAGCATCGTTCAAAAATACCCGTACTGATGCCTGAACATCGGGATCACAGTGAAGGAGAAGAATATGAATCCCTTCATTCTGCAATGCAAGAAGAGTACAACAATATGCTGCTACGTGCAGCAGCGCAGAAGCCACCAGGTGATGGTTTTGCAGAGCATCCTAAACAAATCCATTCCTTACACAGAAACAATGAGGCCACTGCACAATCAGCAGTGCACGACAAAGAGCAGACAGACGATCGTGACCAGGTTACAATTAGAGATAAGACGGTGAACCCAGCACCACCTCATTTTTCGGAACAAAGGAAGGACATCTTGGAGGCGAACAAACAGAATCTTGGGAGGAGGCCTCAGAAGCAGTCCTCGTACCTGCAGATGCACCGGAGACAGTGCGGAGACCCCGCAAAGCGTGTAAGCCTCTGAGCCGCGAGCTCGTTGCATTTACGGTTTTTGTTCTCTTACTCATACTCTTAGGAGTATGAATCCTTGCAGTCACGAAAGCTTCAAATCTAGAATTTTGTTCTCTTGTTAGAATCCAGGCATCTGCCCGCAATGGAAGTCGAGTTTTTTTTTTAGTTCGGTGAATGGATGGCCTCAGCGTAGAAACCAAAACCGTCATATGCCGAGTACTGTAACTTCCAGTGCTAAGATATAGAGTATAAGTACTTACATATATAACACGTAGGCTTTTGCGACAAATATCCATAATAAAGGTTTTTTGGGTTAGACCACGTAAATATACATGTTATGGGTTTAATCTCAAACACACCGGTGTGCTGAAGTAACTAATTGGCACATTTTGTTTATGTGACAAACCTTACTGATTGGCCGTGTTGAGTGATGGTGGGAAGAGGAGTACCTTTAAATACTCTTTGGTTCTTTAAATACACATTTGTCGTTAACCCACCACCACAACCTTTTGCAGATTGTGGTGGTGGGTTTACGACATTTATATTTACGCGTTCTAACCCAAAAACCTTTATTATGGACTTAGATATATATATATTTTATTAATCGTACCAGGTGGCTGAACGGCAGAGTGAGTGGTTCGCACTCGGAAGGTACAGTATATGAATCCCTGTAAGTAAAAATCCTGGAGGGACGATGTCAACCCCCAACCACTCTGTGGGAAAGTTCACAGTAATTGTCCTATGGACAATCTTGCCCCTGCCATAGGAATGGCTCAGAGTTGTTTACAGAAGATAAGCACCAATGCCACAATGCTCATTTGAGCAGCAGGAAACCACTCTGACTTTTAAGAACGGCTTCTATATCACAGTAGTGATATTCATCGTTGCATCGTATGTATTATTTAATTTAATTTGAGTGGGTCAGTCATTCCGGTGAATGCTTGTCCTTCGAGATGTTAACTCCCTCGCCTGGCATACAGGAGGGCGTGGGTTCAATCCCGACCCTGACGCCTGTATATTTGGAGTTTGTGTGTCTCTTCCCGTGGTCGCATGGATTTTTATCCGGGTCCTCTGGTTTTTCGCTCTACATTTTTAATCAACATGCGTTTAGAGAATTTGGACACTATACATTTTCATGTGATAAGCCACTTCGTTTGGATATCGTTTGTGGGCCTTACCTGGTAAAATAAAAGTAGTTTTAAGTAGTTTCGTTTTCACGTTCTAATTTTTCTTTGAAATTGGACCAAACAGAAACTTCTGTGGAAAAGGCAGGAGGAGCAAAGCGCCGCCACCACCACGGCGCTTCGTAGCATCCACAGCGATGCCCAGGAGGAGGCCGAGTTCCCATCTCCCGGCGCCTTCCCCGTGCACAGGTGAGGAGGCAGTCTCCGTGAGGGCACAGAGAGTGGACGCCGTGCGGCTCCTACGGCTGCGCTTGTTTGTTTATACATTTTTAATTATTGTAAATTTCCACATGATAAGCAACTTCGTTGAGCTATCATTTGTGGCCAGGTCGCTTCTGAAAAAGAAGCTAATAGCTCAGTGGGCGTGACCTGGTAAACAAAAAAATAGTTTACTTAAATTTTTGAGTGATTTGTTTACCTTTCCTATACCCTGCGCTCCTATCGTGTTTTTGTATTGTTTGTTGTTGTAACGTTCTAACCTGCCCCTAGCGACGGCCCAAGCACTCCCAGTTTCCTTCGAGCGCCCGGTGGAGAAAGCCGTCGTTAGTTACCGATTTGGAGATTCGCATCGCGATGCGCCTCCAGATGCAGTGCATCGGAGCCGCGGTGTCCATTTCTATATTGTATGTACAGTATGTTCAACTTCATTCGCACCGTACGTAGCCAACCGTGCTAATCGAAGGGGCGGGGGAAGGACAACAAATGAAAGACAAAAGAGCAGCTCTAAGGAAATGAGTGTTCAATCTGGGCTTAAAAGGAGAGGTAATCGTCTTTCTCGCCTGGTATTCACCTAAGGGATTCGATCCCGACCCTGTATATTTGGAGTTTGCACGTCTCTCTCCGGGTCCTCCGGTTTATTCCTCCACATTTATGCATTTAGGTTACGTAGATAAATTTGCTATTAATTTTCACGTGATAAGCCACTTTGTTGAGCTATCATTTGTGGCCATGTCGCTTCTGAAAAATAGCTAATAGCTCAGTGGACCTCAGTTTTATTTTCATATTTTAAGTGATTTGTTTACCTTTCCTATACTTTGCACTCCTATCGTGTTTTTGTATTGTTTGTTGTTGGAACGTTCCGACTTGCTACTACTGGACATCTGTGAAAAATAGCTTTATAGCTCTTCGGATTGCTCCAGTATAAATAAATATTATGATTCTGATAGCCACGCCGAGTCCGAGAACAATTTTTCAGAACGATCCTGCATTGGGTTTTTCTTGTAAGATATCAGCCACCAATTAATGATGAGTTGTGTTTATTATACATGTGGTGAGGAAACCGGAGCACCCGATTAATCCGGATGCTGTACCGCCTTCTCCTGGCGAGCCATGGCATGGCACCTCCTCGACGCGCACGGGAAGGGAGTTTCACAACGTCTATGTGTGTGGTGATCCACCAACCCTCACTGCTGCTTCCGCACAGCGCTGGATCACAGCAGCCATGTGCAGCAGCATCGCCACCACTGATGCCCCCCGCCCTGAGTGACAAAGCAGGAGAAATTAAAAACAAGGCGTGGACCAATCACTTTCAAAGACAATGCATAAATTATCAGAGTATGTTTTTTGTTTGCATTCTGACCACAAGTATTTTGGTTAATGCAGACATGATTCCTTGTAAAAGGTTTCATTTTGGTGTTTTAACGTCTTAACACCTGTTTTGTTGCCAGGAAAAAGGGGAAAATTATTCTCAATGTGGCTAAAGTCGTGTCTTGTATATACAGTTTGTTGAACTTATTTCACACCGTACGTAGCCAACCGTGCTAATCAGAGGTGCAGGGAAAGGACAACAAACTAAACACAAGAAGCAGTTCTAAAGAAATTAGTTTTCAATCGAGATTTCTTGGGTGACATTCAAGCAACGTCCGCGTCCTACTGCGGGTATTTTAAAAGTTAACCCCCGCTTAACAAGTGTTGCGTTACTTTTAAATTATCAAAGCACCACATAATCTGTATTTGAAATGCTGTTATTTGAATACAATAATATTGTACATATCGTGTTCTGTTATAAACGTAGTGGGGAATTCCTCCAATCCAGATCAGCAAATTTTGTATTAAGTGCATTTTAATCATATTATCTGCAAATTCCATTTCCTCTTATCCGCGTGTTATTTTCGCTAAAAACACCAACGAGAGGATGAATTTGCCGATCACCTCTTGTTATCGGTGAAACATCGGATGAATTTGGCTGTGAATAACAGTACTGTTGGTGAACTGCTTGAGGAATGGAGATAATATGGGATGTGGCTCGGATGGCTGCACGAGAGAGGATCTCAACTGCACTTGTCCAATGGAAGGTTATGAGTTCAAATCTCGGTTGGCATTTGACTCAAATTATCATCTCTTCTAGGAGCACCTGTGGTTGTTGTATGTGGGAGATAACTTTGCCTTGCGATGTTGTTCTTACAAACAGGAAGCCGGAGAGTACGAACCAACATTACAACTTCTCCCAACTTCTCCCAAGCAACGCCGATGGAAGACACCAGTTTCCAGGACAGCTTCCTGCTCAGAGCCACCGCGCAGTGGCCACACGTTCCTCGCCGGCCGACGAAATCCATGCCGGTATGAACCCCGCGCTGCAGTATCGCCAGTGGGGCGACGCGAGCGCCGAACTTGGGCAAATCCCCATCGGTTTGCAGCACCGTCCTCTCTACGGGCCCATGCAAGGGGTGTTTCTGGACAATGCCGGTCACGCTTATACCTACTCGCAAGTTCCTGGCTACGTACCTGGGCAACCCGTGTTCCCGTTTGTAGCGCACGACGAGACGTGGCCGTCGAACCCGTCGAGGGACGTTCAGCCTCGGGGAACAGCGTTAGACGCCGGAGGGGAACTGTGGACACACGGCACCACAGGGGGCGCGTGGCCAGGTAGAGCAAGAATCTTGCATCCTGTGCCGTACGATGCCCTCCCCGACTGGGACGCGCCCTGCCTGGCTGAGCAGCAGCAGCATGAGGATCTGGCTCTCCACGCGCGGACGTCGCCGCTCGTAACGCGCTGCAACTCGGACGGATGTTTGGACAGACTGCAGACGCAGCTGAAAAACTATAAGGTAAGTGCGCCGTGTTACGATTGTATCGAAGTTACAATTTGGTTGATTTTTGGCTTAGGCCACGTAATGATCTGGCAAAATTTTGTTGTGAGACCCTCCGCTGCCAAATATATTAAATTGTCACGTACACAAGCGTTTAGTGCCCCTATTATTGTTTCAGCTCACAACCAAATTTTGCAAATAGATACGATGTCTTGCTCAAAACTGTGTCAAGCAGAATAACCGTGTGACCTGACTGGACTTGTGTTTTTCATAAAAGTTTTGTTTTTCTACAACACTTGCATTATCAAAAACAATATACATCTCGGCAACAAAACAGGTGTTAAGATGTTAAAACACCAAACTGAAACCTTTTACAAGGAATCATGTCTGCATTAACCACAATGCTTGTGGTCAGAATGCAAACAAAAAACATGCTCTGTTAATATATGCATTGTCCTTGAAACTGATTGATCCACACCAGAGACAGCTTTCTTTTGAGCCTCATCTCAAACGGTGTTAGACCAGAGGACGTGTTTTAACATCTTAACACCTGTTTTGTTGCCAAAAAAAGGGGGAAAACCCTATTATCATATTTTGGTACTGGCAAAGGAGGTCCCATGAAATATACATCTCACTAATCCCATCTATAGTCAGTGTTCAATATATTCCATAGGTTGCTGCTCAATTCGTGTATTTTTATAACCAGTACTGAGGCAGGAAGGTTAAAAAGGGGTGGGGGTGGTTAGGTAGGGGGGGTGGTTAAAGTATAAACTTTGTTACCAGGTAAGACGTACTGAGCTGTAATGCTCTTTTTCAGAAACGACCTGGCCACAAATGATAGCTCAACTAAGTGGTTTATCATGTGAAAATGAATAGCAGCTAAATACTCTTAAACGCATGTTTCTAAATGTGGAGGGAAAAACCGGAAGACGCGAAGAAAAATCCACTCGACCGCAGAGAGAGAGACATGCAAACTCCAAATTTACAGGTGTCAGGGGCGGGATCAAACCCAGACCTCCTGTATACTAAGCGAGGTAGTTAACATATCACCACCGCGGCAGTTAGGTATGGGGGGTGGTTAGGTATGGGGGGGTGTTGAGTATGGGGGGTGGGGGTGGTTGAGTATGGCTAGGGGATAAGCTGCGTGAGGAGGGCATCAGGCTAGGAGCTAATTGTCTCTGCGGTCCAGCCATCATACACTTCCAACGTGCCGGTCAAGCCACCAGACGCAATCTCAAATGTGGAGTTCCCACTGCAAGAGATTCTCAACGTCACTGGGAGATAAACGAGCTGTTTATTGAGTTTGTCTCAGGTCGTCCAACAGCGCCTGATATAGCAATGTAATGGGGTATAAAGACTATCAGCTTGTATTATATCAAAATGTTCGTGACAGGAATGGAATAAAATGCTATGTCCATGACTCACACATCTGATGTTTGCTTTCAGGAATATACACTTCAGGATTATAAAAACCTCAATCAAGACATTAAACTGGGAGGCCTTGGGCCAGATTGCACCTCTGTTAAAAAAAAGGTTTGTTTATCAAATAATTTATTTTGGCACTTCCATATCATCACCGTCCATCTAACATTGGTATAGAGTCTCTAGACCCACATCCCGCAAGCTTACCAAGCGGCCAAACAGCCTAATGTAGAACCACAGAGCTTGGGCAATAGTTGATAGCTCCGGTTCTGTGCGCATTACAATGTCCATGATTGACGCCACTATATATAATTAAACATAATATTAATTGCATGTAACTTTACAGTGAATGCGAAATGAATATCACTGTGTACACACTATTTTGGAGATGTAAAAGGGATTTGTATTAAGTTCTGATAATTTCCACTGGCTGTTCTAATCACTGAGATGATTGATATTTTCTCCACTGATTGTTATGCTTTTATGTTCAATCCAACGGTTTAATGTCCTTACAATTATATTTTATCAGATTAAGGTGGGCTGTCTGGGGGCTGTCGGGGGGTCCGACACAGGTGCCATGGTGGCACGATGTTAACTACCTCGCCTGGTATACAGGAGATTGTGGGTTCGATCCCAACCATGACGCCTGCTGTAAATTTGGAGTTTGCGTGTTCTCCCCGTGGTCACGTTGATTTTTCTCCGGGTCCTCTGGTTTTTTTCCTTCACATTTAGAATCAACATGCGTTTAGAGTAATTGGTTATCAATTTGCACGTGATAATCCACTCCGTTGAGCTATCATTTGTGGGTAGGTCGCTTCTAAAAAAAGAGCTATACAGCTTAGTGGGCCTTACCTGGTAAAATAAGAAAAAAGTTAATATATGCTCCGATAAATATGTAGTGAGTTAAACTGAGTCGCAGACGTACTCTTGGAGGCAACACATTTATTTACCACCAACACACGGGGTAACTGCCCCTTAACAGGATAACAACCTATGGTGGTGACCACCAGGCTAACTACACTAATTACAACGTAACTGCTACAACGGACCAGGTCCAACAGCTCGGCTCCAGGTCCATGTGTGTGAGACTTGTAGAACGTAGGACATAGACGAAGGTTTCTTCAGGATGAACAACAGAGCCTGTCCCTCTGGAGGACCCGGCTTATATTCTCTGCAGCGTGGCCGGCTCCGCCCTTGGCCACGACTACCTTCCAGAATCCTCGAGCAGGATCTGGACCTCAACACGTGACCTACCCCGAGCCCCACTTGGGGCCCCTTTGTAGACTTAACCGGTCACGTGTCCTCTGGGGTCAACTAGAGTGTCACGGCCTTTAGTAATCCCATTTCCATGGCCGGCACTCCCACACCCTATCCTGTAGGGGCCGGCACTGCACGCCAAGCGTGGTGACATCCAGCGCTATCGATCAGCGCTCACCGAGCCCCTCTAGGGCCAGTACTGCACCCACATCCTAGTGGTGTCCGCGATGTGAATACACCGCACGCCATGCCTCTCTAGGGCCGGCATTATTACAAATACAAGGCTTGATAGTTAAAAAATATATCACAATGTACATTTTTATCCAGGAAAGCCTTCAGGGGCCACATGCCCAGCCACGTCTCGGCTCTGGCTTGGCTGTGAACTCAGCTCGGTAATAATTGGCGTGTGAATTTCCATTTAAAGCTTTCGTGACTGCAGGGATTCATCTTCTTGGTTCTTTTGGTAAAGTCACGTAGAAGGGAAATAATAAAATAATAAAAATAAAACATAATAAAATACAATTCTCACGACGTTTCGGCCACAACGCAAGCAGCCGTCCTCACATCTGGCCACATGGCCGGCCTGCTCTAGACCAATTCCTCGACCACATCAATTCCATACACCCAGCCATCAGATTCACTATGGAAGTCGAAAAAGGTGGCAAGCTACCTTTTTTGGATGTCCTAATTAAAAGGAGACCTGATGGCTCAATGAGCCACTCTGTCTACAAGAAAGCTACCCATACGGATGCTTACCTAAAACCGGATTCCCACCACCATCCATCCCAGAAGAATTCCCTCATCAAGACTCTACACCATGAAGCCCAATGCATCTCTGACCAGGAACACATTGCCAGTGAACTCAAGCACGTACGCCAAGCTCTTAAGGCTAATGGTTACTCCAACTACACAATCCGCAAAGCCATCACTCCAACCATCAAGAAGGATCCGGTTGAGGAGCCATTCAAAACCATCACCTTACCCTACATTGCGGGCGTCACAAAAAAGATCTCCAAAATCCTGAATAAACACAAGATCCAGGTCCGATTCAACACAGTACATAAAATCCGTGATCTGGTCCCGCCTGTAAAAGATGTGGTTCCAGACATACAGTACCCTGGCATCTACAAACTAAGTTGCCTATGTGGTAGCAGTTACATTGGAGAAACCAAACGACATGTCTCGGACCGCATCCGTGAACATAAAGCAGACCTGAAACACAGTAGGACAAACACCTCAGCCGTGGCAGATCACTGTTACAATTCAGTGGGCTCACATGACATTGACTTCTCCAAGACAGAGGTTCTCTGCAAGCCATCTGGCTACCATGAGAGATTCGTTCATGAGGCGATCCAAATATACAAACACAGAGACAATTTCAACCGAGAAGATAGATTCTGGCTCAGCAATCATTGGAAGGACGTAATAAACCATTTCGGATCTTAACTGATTGTGTTCACGTTTACAGTGATTTTCAGACCGCAGTCCACTCACTGGCATTGACTATATATCTTTTGTATTCTCCGCAGGGAATGGAGTCTTTGCTCCGCTGCAAGTCCCCTTACCACCACTCTCCCATTGACATATTTCGTTGCTTCCTCTTAGTACATTTCACGCGACGGTCAATGGTATAGTGTTTAGCAGATTGTATAATAATAAATAGTATAAAAGTGTAATGTTTAATATAATGTATAAGGTAATATATAGTATCGTAATTGTATAGTGAATATACAGCAGTGTGGTATACAGTAGGGTGGGTAGAATAATACATAGTGTAATATTACAATGTATAGTCTAAGGTATAGGGTGGTATATAGTAATGCAGTATATAATTTAATGTTGGGTTTGTCTATGGCAGTATATAGTACGGGGTAGATCCGTGTGATGTAAGGAAAAAGTTTAGCTGGAGGCATATATTTTTGGGACATAGAATTGTAATGTATGACTTACTGTTAGGAGCTCAGCTTATTGGAGAGTATATTTAGTATATTGATGATTATGGATGTAGTTTATATTTTAGTTTTTTACGTGGTGGTTTGCTGCTGCAGCCCCTTACTATTAAAATTCCTTCCCTTTATTACTGCTAACCCTACCTCCTCCCTTTTTTGCTGCTAATCCTACATAACGCAGGGGCATGACTTTGAGACCCCCCCCCACCTCCTACGCATTCCACAAGTAGTGACTAATCCCATATCTGCATTTTCCATAAATATGCTAAATTCCTCTGTTGATATGCAAATTCCTTTGTCAAGGCGCCCTTCCTCCCCTAACCCAGCTTAAATATACGCTGCCAAGCTTGGTGGTGTTCATTTAGACGCCGTCTTTCCGATAGACCTGTTCTTCACCTGACGGCTGCTTGCGTTGTGACTGAAACGTCGTGACAATTGTATTTGATTGTTTTATTTTTATTATTTAATTATTTCCTTCTACGTGACTTTACCGAAAGAACCAAGAAGATGAATCGGCGTGTGGTTAGACGCTCGTGCGCGTCACTATTTATTTGGCTGTCAGATGGAGGGTTTTGCGACAGAAATTTGACTGGATCATTGCATGGCCTAACCCTGACATTTTTTTGGAATCGGAATATCGGCTGTGAAACCACCTCTACGTGCTACTCTACAATCGCTCAATTTGGTCGCGAGATTTGAAAAAGCAGCGACTTTAGGTATGTGCGTACAAATCCATCAGCAAGCCTCGCGTGCACTACACACACAACCAATGCATTTATTGTGTATTTTGTTGCAGTTGGAGAAAATCAGGAAGCAACAGAATTATGCAAAACTTGTACAGGAGCAGAACCGCTCGCTGCTCGGGAGGCGAGGAACAAGGGCCCCAGTGCACCCCACCTCGGCGCCGGAGGGCGACAGCAAGTCCCGCAGAGAGCAGGTGACACCACGTCCTCCACTCTCGCGGCACACGCCGCTAGGGGCGCCGCGGTGGCGTGATGTTAACTACCTCGCCTGGTATGCAGGTCGTGGGTTCGATTCCAACCCTCACACCTGCATATTTTGAGTTTGTATGTTCTCTCTGCGGTCAAGTGGATTTTTCTCTGGGTCCGGTTTTCCCTCCACATTTAGAATCAACATGCGTTTAGAGTCTTTGCTGCTATAAATGTCCACGTGATAAGCCACTTCGTTGAGCTATCATTCGTGATCGCCAGGTCACTTCTGGAAAAGAGCTACGTAGCTCAGTGGGCCTTACCTGGGCAGATAAAAAAGGCATACTTTTTAATGAGCCACGCTGCACAGTACGATGCACGTGGTGACACCCGATTCCCCGTGCGTTGTGTCGCAGGCGCTGGAGTACGCGCGCAACGTGCCCCGGCCCCGCTACAGAGAGGCACGCGGGGAAGCGTCTGCTCCCCACGGGGAGCGGCGCGACTCCCCCACCAGTTCGACGGCACTCGACCCCATGCAGGCACTGTTGGACGACCTGAGACAACGCCACGAGCAGGACAAGCAAGCCGTTGCGGCCTTCAGACTGCACGCGCCCTGACGACGCCCTGATGCCTGGATGGGCGCCCCAACTCACGCACTGTCATGTGGTCTAAATCGTCGTAATTCGTGGTGGTGGCGACACTCGTGCCTCACAGCAACAAGGGTTCGAATATTTCAAAAGCCGCAATGCATGTGAATACGAGACGGTCCTTAATAAATAGCGTGACAAAGCAGTCCTTAAAGAGTCGCACGTGGCTCCAGAGCCACAGGTTGCCGACCCCTGGCCTGGGAGCTGCCAAACGACAAAGCCGACCGAGATCAATGTGTGTGGTGTTCTCCGTTTATTGCTGTACATCCGTCATCTCGGGGCGGTAGGGTGGTGGCACCGTGACACTCGTGCCTCAGCAAAAATGGGCTTGAATTCAATTCCTGACTCTGGCGCCTGTCTGCGTGGAGTTTTATTGTTTTGAACGTTGTGCATGGGTTACTTCCCAGAGCTAAAACAATATCCCAATGCAAATAAATGCCTGTAAATTACTCAGTTGGGATTACACAGCAGTTATAGTGCCCTCTGCTGCAAAAATGTTGGTCTGACCCTCCTGAAAGAGTCCAAGACTCGGCAAGGCTCTAGTGGATAAGCAAGCGAATTCAACGAAAGCCACCACCACTTCTTACAATCCTGAAATCTACAAATCCATCTCGGACGCATTCCATTCCTTAACTGCTACTCTGGTGTTCTTTACTAATGTCCATCGTCCCTTCAAGCAATATTTCCAGCCTAAGCCCTCTCACTTTTCTTAGCAGTTTCGATGGTGCCACTAACCTATGTATGTTCTCGAATCCGTGTGTTCTTGTCTCTATATAATTTCAAGCGTGCATCTCTCCACGCTTCTTTGCGCCCTTTTCAGTTTACTTTTGGTCGCCTACACTTCCACGCCTGAATGTTCAAAATGTTCAACCTAGGTCTACTCTTAGATAATCTAAAAGTAACTTACTTGCATTACACACTTCCTCAAGTGGGTATTTTAACATGATTACACATTTTTAAACGTGTTATATTCTTACACGTAGGAATGTGGGGTACGTGGAGTGAAAAGGCATGAGGATTGCACGACCCAAGGGCCACAGCTGTGAGGTTGAGCTGGAGAGGGGCGATGCGGTGATCAAAGCAGTACCGGTCCCTCACCCCTCCCAACACCGCTTCCCCCACCCCAGTCTCCTTTGTTCCATTCTGAGTCTATTAGGCTTAGGGCACGAGTGACTTAAATTATCCACTTCAGGTTTTTTTTACTTTTAAACAGTTTCCTAAATTTTAATTTATAATCAAGTTACTAAATACTGTGCTTTTAAAACGTCCAGGTGGCTCATCGTCCCGCTGTATACCGACCGCAGCCACCGCTGTTGATGGTACAGATGGTGCCGTGGTGCCATGGTACCGCAACAAATCAATAGCCGCATGAGGGTGGACACGCATGGGGGGTGAACACAAAACTGCCGAGTCAAGGCAAGACCTTCAGACATCACGAGGGTGGAGAGTGGCACTGCCAGTGTAAATATGAAATGGGAGTTTCCATTTCCCCATTATTGTAGAACGCGTGGGGTTTGCGGAGGCTTGGAAACATTGCAGGGTTGACGCTGAGAGCCGTCGCTGCAAAACGTCCAGACCTGATGACCGATGTCCAAGGGTCTAATATCACCACATGAAGGCGTTCGCATTGACTCAACTGTGGGTTTATGTGAATGCAATAGAACACAATTTATAATAATTTCTCATTTCATTCTCAGTGACGTATAAGTGGTCACAGGAATCATCACTAGATCTGCGAGGTCAGTACTTGCAGGTCACAGGATTTTGTGTGAATTTCAGTATATATCCGTGATGGCATTTCCCATAGCAATACCGGTAAGTTTGGTTTTATCCAATAAATGATGCGATGGCTCAGCATTGGTTTGGACAGATTTCAATGATTGTGGGATGGACAAGCATTCTGGTTACACTGACGATGATTAATCAAACTGAACATGTCGAGGGAGTGAGAAGGGATGACTCTCCATGACATCACAGCGATACACTCCGCTACTCCTGATGCGGTTACTTGGCTTGACCAACTGAATGTGTAATTGTAGTTGTTGCTCTGCATCTACATCAGCCATACGAAAGAATACTCTCTTGGTCTGCCCGCAATGTTAACAGGACAAGAAACTCGGGGTCGACTTGAGCATGTTCATGACCTGAGCTCTGCTGCTCGCACTTGGGTCCCTGAGCGCCTGGGATCGCGTTGTGAAATGTGCAGGCGACATCAGATTGAGACCTTTGTGAGAACCTTCCTCATACAGACGGGAGCCGTCTGCACTGAGCGTGTTCTGTTGAAACATCTGTAGTTGAAACATTTGTAGTTGTGTTACAAGTGAATTAGAATGTGGCTGTCGACAGAACACCATCAGAATGTGAATGTTCACACAAAAAGACTTGAGGCCCATATTCTCTGTCTCAGCTCAGCCGGCTCTGAGCAAGATCATAGATCAGGATTTCCATGGGCCGAGCCGCTCATTGCAAATTTGGAAGCAACTGAGTGGCTCAAGCCTAAGCCGAGCCACGTGAGGCTGTTAAAGACTCGTCTCTGCACAAAGTTGAAGGTGACAGGTTAAGGAATTTAAGAAATATGGAAAAGAGCAAGGGTCGCCGATACTGCTGTGAGAGCAAAGGGAATAACAGTGGAATTGGGCAGGACACATCATGAGACAACTGACGAGTGATGAGAGAAACGAAACTCGGGAATGGAGATGGAGAGAATGGAGAAGCGGAAGAAGAGAGCGGGAGAGATGGCCGAGTGTCCACGAGTTCACTAGGAAGCGCCCGCACGCATGTGTTAAGGCCGGTGTGCGTAGCAAGGGCAGTCGCATTCGTCATCACGTTGCGAATGCACACGAATGGAATGTGATTCGGTCTCACAAGCATCCTGACTTGTCGATGAGTGACGGCTCCCTCGGTGTTGAGCGAAGCCCTGGCCTAACAGGACACCTGCTTTACTGGGAGCGCAGTTCTTTTGGCAAGCTTGGGCTACGATCGTGGCGGCAGAGTTTGAGGGCTACGCTGCGCCGATGACTCCTCGTGAGAATGAAGCGGCGAAAAAATATGAGTGATTGCAAGGGAGTGGCGGCTGATGTCCAGCGTGGAGGGGTGAGAGTGAGCAATCTGTTGAAGAGCGGGAGGCGGAGGAGTGGGGCTCATCACACCAAGTGCCGAGACAGCTTTAGCGGGAAGTTCTCTGTGATGAGGTGGTCATCTTGCAGGATGATGACGATGTTCACTTCAAACTCTGTGAACAGACGTACAGACAAAGACAAAGATGCCCCACATAGCCTTAGAAGACTGTAGGAGCAAGTGCTGTTAGCGAGCGCCTATGAAAGCCAGTAAGCCACACGAGGGGGAGTGGCCAACACCACGCCTAGCCGCCTTTGTCTTCCAAGTAGCGATGTTTACACACCACAGAAGGTACTTATTTGAGGCTGAGTCGACCTAGGGGAGGCCTAGGACTGGTTCAGATAATCGTCACTGGTGTTGGCCATGAGCAGGAATCGAACTCGGGTCGCCGGGTTCGCTCTCCATAGGCGTACAGACGCACACACACGTATCTATCTGAAGCATCAAATTACCCACGAGTGGGTTATTGCATCGCAGGACCATGAGACGGCGAGGGCTTGAGGCCTTCACCCAGCAGTGGATTAACCATGGCTAATGGTGATGCATAAAGTATAGAAAGTAAAACCAACGTTTTTTTGCTTCATGCTATTTTAGTCAAAAGTACTCCCCCCCCCCCCCCCCGCAAATTTTGACATTTTGTTCATGCAATTTATTCACAAGATTCTGATCACAGAGGCCAAATGGGCTTCCACCAGCTGAGCACAGGTTCAAAGCGTTAAGCAGCCAGCAATAAAGAGCACTTTCAGAGTTGTAATAGATAACAGTTAATATTATTTGGGTCTTTCGGTAAAGCCACGTAGATAGAAAAAATAATCAAAATAATAACAATATCATGACGTTTTGATCGCAACACAAGCAATCGTCTTCAGGTGAAAAAAGAGGGGGAAATCTGCCGAGGCAGGCTGTTTACAAAGGTTTAGAGATGGCGGGGCAGCTAATGTTAATATAGGAGAGAGGTCTCCGTAACCTGCAGTAGGTCTACACCAATCAAAGAGCTGTTTACAAATGGTTTAGAGATGGGCGGGGCAGCTAATGCCAATGTGGGGGAGGTCTCCGTAATCTGCTCTAGGTCTACACCAATCAAAGAGCTGTTTACAAATGGTTTAGAGATGGGCGGGGCAGCTAATGCCAATGTGGGGGAGGTACTACGGAGCTGTGGGGGGTGGCCATTGTATTGTGAGAGATTAGCATGTCAATGTAAGAAATTTGAAGTTCGGCGAGAGCTTGGACAGCGCAGTGGCCACATGGAGGTGGAAAAGAATGGCAAGCCGCCATTTACTAACACAGCTAACGGTGGCTGTGTTAGTGAATGTGTAAGGGATCTGCGAGCACCCCTCACGCACACGTACCACGCAGACATGAAATCTCCGCACTCAGTATAACACGCACCAATCACACGCACAGGAATACACTAGACGGGGGTCAAGGGTTAAAGGGCACTGACGTCACCCGGACCAGGCGTGCGAGGCGAGGATGTGTATTGGGAATGAGGGCGGAAATGGAGGGTTTAAAAGGGGCTGTGAGACGCGTGTTCGGGGTTGGTTTTGGAACGAGTGTGGCTGTGGGTTGAAGAATAAACCAGTGCGTAAACCAGTCTCTGACTCCTCTTCAAATGTAACTCAGAGAGTCGAAAATAACTGCTAGGTAGGATAGGAACATCACAGCCAGTTATGACCTAAACTGGTTAATCACGTCCTTCCAACGATTGCTCAGTTTGTACCCATCTTCTCGGTTGAAATTGTGTCTGTGTTTATATATCTGGATGGCTTCATGAACGAATCTTTGATAGCCAGTGGGTTTGCAGAGTACCTTCATCTTAAAATAATGATCAGCCACGGCTGAGGTATTGGTCCTACCGTGTTTCAGATCTACCTTATGTTCACAGACCCGGTCCCCAATGTAACTGCTGCCGCAGACACAGCTTTGTTTGTAGACACCGGGGTATTGCATGTTGGGGATCGCATCCTTCACAAAAGGGTTCAAATCACGAATTTTATGTACTGTGTTGAATCATACCTGGATCTTGTTTGCTCATGATTTTGGAAATATTTTTGGTGACCCCTGCTATGTATGGCAAGGTGATGGTTTTGATTGGGTCCTCAGATGGTTCTCTCCCCACGGTTGGGTTGATAGCTTTACGGATTGTGTAGTCCGAATATACATTATTCTTGAGGGCTTGGTGTACGTGCTCCAGTTCACTGGCTAGGTGGTGATGGTCAGAAATACAATGAGCTCTGGTGTAGAGTTTTGATGAGGGAATTATTCTCGGATGGATGGTGGTGGGAGTCAGGTTTTAGGTAGGCATCCGTATGGGTGGCTTTCCTGTAGACAGTGTCCCATTGAGCCATCAGGTCTCTTTTCGATTAAAACATCCAAGAATGGTAACTTGCCATCCTTTTACACCTCCATGGTGAATTTGATAGCTGGGTGCATGGAATTGATGCCGTTGAAGAATTGGTCCAGAGCTGGTAGGCCACGTGGCCAGATGACGAACGTGTCATCTACGTATCTCTTCCACAAGGAAGGACATAGGGTGGATGCCTGGATAGCATCTGTCTCAAATTTCTCCATGAAAACATTGGCTACTACTGGAGATAAGGGCGAACCCATTGGGGTACCTTCAACTTGTTTGTAGAATGTTCCATTCCAGGTGAAGTAAGTGTTGGCGAGGCAGTGTCTAACCAGGGCTGGTACATCAGCATTCAATCCTTGTTGGACCAAATCTTTAATTATTGCAATGGTGTCAGGCACAGGAACTTTGGTAAACAAAGATACCACATCTAAACTGGCAAGCAAATCACCTGGAGATAGTGAAATGTCCTTAATGGAAGATATCAAGTGAGCTGAGTAAAGCTGAGGTGGTCTTACCAGTGAATGGTTGCAAGGTCTCAGACAGAAATGTTCCCCTTCTCTTTTCACCTCAAGACGATTGCTTGTGTTGCGATCAAAACGTCGTGATATTGTTATTATTTTGATTATTTTTTCTACGTACAGTAAAACCTTGGATTGCAAGTAACTTGGTCTGCGAGTGTTTTGCAAGACGAGCAAAATTTGTACTTGCATATTAATTCGATAAACGAGCGAGGTCTTGCAATACGAGTACTGTAGTACGTACAGTATACGCTTTGTCTGCCGAGTGTCACGTGATCACCACTGAGCCGATGGTTCTTCTCTTTCCCTCGCTGCGGGATTGTGGGTAATCGTCTCCCATGCTCGGTCTCAGTCGGCGTGCCTCACTCGTATAGTCAACATTCGTGCGAGCGTATACTGTTTACTATAGTGTTGTGACCACGTGTGTGTGCGTAAAGCATTTTTTTATTTTGTTTCCAAGTGTAGTGACTGTTCTTTAGTAACTGTACTGCAAGTGAAAGTCCTCCTACACAATAACCCTCCTCTCCTCTCTCATCTCCCTCACACCAGCCACGATTAAATGTAATTAATACATTTGATTACTTTATATTAAATTTAAATAATAAAAATAGAAAAAGGTATTTTGTATTAATCATTTTTATATGAATACAGTATTTTTGGGTTGTGGAACGAATCATCTGGGTTTCCATTATTTCTTATGGGGAAATTCGCTTTGATATACGAGTGCTTTGGATTATGAACACGTTTCCGTAACGAATTATGCTCGCAAGCCATGGTTTTACTGTACGTGGCTTTACCGAAAGACCCAAAGAATATGAATTCCTGCAGTCATAAAAGCTTTAAATCAAGATATAACAGTTGATGTGTATATTAAATTGAGCAAGGTTATTATAAGACCTTGGGAAAGACGATAGGGAATTCCAACATGGAGCAGTGCGAGGGAATAAGCAGTAAGAGAAGCATGGTGACCTGCAGTGTGGCGGTGGTGGAACATGGTGTGCCACGGTGGCGAGATGTTAACTACCTCGCCTGGTATACAGGAGGTCATGGGTTTGATCCTCACCCTGATGCATGTATATTTGGAGTTTGCATGTTCTCCCCTTGGTCGTGTTGATTTTTCTCCAGGTCCTCCGGTTTTTCCCTCCACATTTAGAATCAACATTACGTATTTGGCTGCTATAAATTTACACATTATAGGCCAATCTTGATTTGAAGCTTTTGTGTCTGCAGGAATCTATACTCTTTGGTAGAAAAATGAAAATATATATATATATCACGACATTTCGATCGCAACACAAGCGGTCGTCCTCGGGCGGAATTTTTTTTATAATAATCCAGCAGTGGAACTGCTGAACCAGGAAGAACACAGCGAGAGAGCTGTTACAACAAGAGGTTATATATGTTGGCCAAGGGCAAGCAGCCGGGTGCGAGCTGGAAAGGAATTCCATCCCTGCACGCAAGCACGTAAGTTGTGTTAATGGGGGAGATTAGTTAGAGAGAGATTAGCGAGAGATTAACATGAAATTAGCTTCCGTCGCCGCATAAGATTATCGTCCCCGCATATGCACACAGCAGCAGTGTTAATGGGAGATTAGCACTATGTTGATGGGAGAGATTAGGCAGAGAGATTAGGGAGATTAGCAAGTTAATGTCATGTCTATGTGTAACACATTTCACTGTCGACAGATGATTTGCTTGTCAGTTTCGATGTAGTCTCTCTGTTCACCAAGGTACCTGTACCTGACACCATAGCAATCATAGAAGACTTGATTCAACAGGGACTGAATCCTGATGTACCAACTTTGGCCATACCTATACTTGCTTAATCTGGAATGTTACATTCCACAAACAAAATGAAGGTACCCGTATGGGTTCTCCCTAATCACCAGTGGTAGCGAATGTTTCATGGAGAAATTTGAAACAGATGCCATCCTGACATCCACCCTACGTCCTTCCCTGTGGAAGAGATATGTAGATGACACTTTCGTCATCTGGCCACATGGCCAGCCAGCACTGAACCATTTTTTCAACCACATCAATTCCATACACCCATCCATCAAATTCACCATGGACGTGGAACATGATGGCAAGCTACCATTCCTGGATGTTTTGCTCGAGAAGAGGCCTGATAGCTCGTTGGGACATTCCGTCTACAGAAAAGCCACCCACACGGATTCTTATCTAAAGCCCGATTCTCACCACCATCCGGCCCAGAAGAATTCCCGCGCCACCTAGCCAGTGAACTGGAACATGTACAGCAAGCCTTCAAGATGAATGGATACTCAAACCGCACAATCTGCAAAGCTGCATCCCCAACAACCATCTGAGGACCCAATCAAAACCATCACCTTGCCATACATAGCAGGTGTTACCAAAGGGATTTCTAAAATCTTAAACAAACACAAGATCCAGGTCCGATTCAATACAGTACACAAAATCCGTGATTTGATCCCATCTGTGAAGAATGTCATTCCTGACATACAATACCCTGGTGTCTACAAACATTGGGGAAACGAAACACGTCTCGGACCGTGTTCACGAACACAAGGCAGATTTGAAACACGGCAGAACCAATACCTCTGCCGTGGCTGATCATTGTTATAACGCAATAGGCTCGCACGATATTGTTTTTTCCGAGACCAATGTACTCTGCAAACCTTTAACCGAGAAGATGGTATAAGCTGAGCAATCATTGGAAGGACGTTATTAACCAAGCAAAGTCGTAACTTGCTGTGGTGCTTCCATTCTTCCTGCCGTTTTGCTGTTATCTCCAACCCTCTGAGTTGCATTGCCCTGTTAGGTGCCTCTGCATTAACGGGCTGGGGTCTCACCAACATGGCCACCTCTGTTCCCTTAGCCTCGATGTATCGATGGTTCTGGCTGTGTGATGTGGTTTGTGTCTCACTGGCGTGACCACCGTTGCGGTGGTTCTCTCGCGCTTGTCTCTCACAGTGCAGTTGGCAGCGCCGCAGCTTGTGTTACACATAGACATGACATTAACTTGCTAATCTCCCTGCCTAATCTCTCCCATCAACATAGTGCTAATCTCCCATTAACACTGCTGCTGTGCGCATATGCGGGGACGATACTCTTATGCGGCGACGGAAGCTCATTTCATGTTAATCTCTCTCGCTAATCTCTCTCCCTAATCTCCCCCATTAACACAACTGACATGCTTGTGTACGGGGATGGAATTCCTTTCCAGCTCGGACCCCGCCTGCTTGCCCTTGGCCAACATATATAATGTCTTGTTGTAACAGCTCTCTCGCTGTGTTCTTCCTGGTTCAGCAGTTCCACTGCAGGATTATTTAATTATTTATCCCGCCTGAGGGCAACCGCTTGTGTTGTGATCGAAACGATGTGATATATTATTTTTTATTTTGTTTTTCTACCTACGTGACTTTACTGAAGGTACCAAAGAGTACATTATAGGCCATTTCGTTGAGCTATCATTTGTGGCCAGGTAGTTTCTGAAAAAGAGCTGTATATAGCTCAGTGGTCCTTACTTGGTAAAATAAAAACTAGTTTACTCGCCTTTTGCCCGTCCAAGGACGGGTGTATTGCAGTAAATCTGAAACTTGCAAGCGAAAAGCAGACCACGACATGATATTCATGAATATTAATGAGGGGGAGGGTGCTCCATGTGGAGTGACGTCACCTAATCATGATTATTAATGAGGGGGAGGTCCATGTCTAGGACGTAACCTGTTCATGATTCATCTTCTTGATTCTTTCGGTAAAGTCACATGGAATTGAAATAATATTTTATTTTATTATTTCAATTCTACGTGACTTTACCGAAAGAACCAAGAAGATGAATCCCTACAGTCACAAAAGCTTTAAATCGAAACTGTTCATGATTATTAATGAGGGGGGCTGGTCGACGTGGAGTGACGTCACTGCACAGACATTCTTGGCTCATTATAGTAGATAATAATGGGGGGGGTGTCCATTTGGAGGATGTCACCTACTCATGAATATTAATGAGGGGGGCTGGTCGATGTGGAATGACGTCACGAGGATTAAGGATAGACATTCCTGGGTGATTATAGTCGGCACAGTGGTACCTTGGTATACGTCGTTAATTCGTTCCAGAAAGTAGGACTTATACCGAAAATGACGTATACCAAACTAATTTTTTCCCATAAGAAATAAAGGGAAAGGAAATAATCCGTTCCAGAGTATAAGAAATGATATTTTATATGGCATATAATACATTAATGGGGTTGTATAAAATAATTTAGACACTACTTATTACTAGAATGCATACATTAATTACAATAAATCCATAAATAAAAATAAATTGATATAAAAATAAAATTTAACATCACTTTACCTTGCCGAGAGGAGTTGAATGAATTCGTAAAAAAATTACGTTAAAATAACAAAAAACACGTGAAAATTCACAGAGAGTTATAGCAAGGGTTGTGCACTGAACGAGATCTACAGGCAGACTGAGGAGCGGCGCTTTGTTTCAGTCGTGAACGGGGTATACGCGGGTACGCGGTGACTCATCCCGACCCATACAAGTTCTAGCAAGCGCGTCGTATCCCAAGCAAGACGTCGTATCCCAAGACATTTTTTCTCTCCTCAAAACACGACGTACAGAGATACCTCGGTTCACGAACGCTTTTGTTTACGAACAACTCGGTTCACGAACAGAAAAGTTCATAAAAAATATGCTCCGGTTCACGAACTCCGCTTCGGTTCACGAACAGGAGCCGCGGCCATTTTAATGCTATTTCCAGGCTGTCACATGGTCGTGACTTCCTGGAGGAAGATCGTGGAGAGAAGAAGAGACACAGAAAGAAGTACTGTGAGTACTGTGAAGACAGTTTCAGTGACTTTTTGCTTTTTGGTGTGCTTTTTAGCACATACAGTACTGTACTGTACTACTGTACTGTACTGTACAATACTGTACTTACTGTATTGTACAGTTCACCCGTTTGAGTGCTTACTGAAGTCATCTCAAGCAAGGTTAGTGTTCTCTCTTTATACATTACTATACTGTACAGTACTAATGTGTATTGTAATTTGTTTCATATTTTTGTGCTTCAAAAACCAAAAAAAAAGGTCAGAACGGATTAACCGGATTTACATTGAACCCTATGGGAAAATGTGCCTCGGTTCACGACCAATTCGGTTCGCGACCAGAGTCAGTTCACGAATTAAGTTCGTGAACCGAGGTATCACTGTATACCAAATTCGACGTATTCCAAAGCGGTCGTATACCGAGGTATGACTGTATGTGATAGTGTGGACTCAAATTAACCGTCTTTCTGCCGTAGCAGTCACGGCGTCCATCACTAGGTGGCCACACTGCATACAGGAGGACGTCCAACGGAGAGTAGGACTGCATGCGCCAGATTTGAGGCATTGTGTCACCGTGGCTGAAATAACCAACCACTCATGACATTCCACCACAGTGGACAAGGCACATGGGAGTTGGGTCGCTGACCAGCGCAGGAGGCGGCCTGGTGGTGACACGCTTGCTTCGCAGTAACAAGTTCCTGGGTTTGATTAGGGTGGGGTGTCTCTCTGCGTGGAGTTTGTATGTTCTCTCCCCCTGTTCTGCACGGGTTTCCTCCGGCTTCCACAGATTAATTCCACCGTAGCTACCTCTGATTAACATGGTTGGCTATTTACGGTGCGAAAAAAATTCAACGTACATACAACTAAAATAAAAAGCCTACGATGTAACTGGTATTGGTCAAACATCCCAAAGCTGAAAAATTACATCAGAATTACAGCAACAACGGCCCCTACTGAGAAAAACTTGTCAGGAACCTCCTGAGAGTCTTGAGACTCGTTGAGGCTTTCCTGGGTAAAGAAGTGGTGTAGTAGTGATAATAGTAGTAGTCGTAGTAGCTCTCACCGATTTTAAAGTTGGTGGTCTGCAGCGTGGGGCAGGTGAAGAGGCGTGGGAAGACCATATGGATGGGGATGGCGACTCCCCGGCACACGTCTCCCTCGGCGATCTGCAGGTTCTGGATCTCGGTGGCGTCGCGCGCGTAGCCCTCGGCACAGCCTGTGGGGGGAGCGGGGGCGCCGCGATAGCACGACGCGACAGCACGCCCCTCTCTCAACTCCCTCACGCGCTGGCACATCGCGCGGCACGCGACGCAAAAAACACAAGACAGGGTGAGGTGTGATCGCGGGAGACGCGCGGCCGTCAGAACGGGCAGCCTCACCGCAGGTCTCCACGCGCACCAGCTGCACATCGATGCTCTTGAGGGGGAGGTCGCAGTGCTCCACCAGCAGTTCCCCACACAGCGGCCGCGTCACCTCGCAGTTGGTGGTGTTCAGGCAGCCCTTGATCAGGAAGTTGGGCAGGGAACTCTTCTGCGAGGCGATATGTTGCACCTCTTTGGGGACGATAACAACTTTACGCTGCGGTACAGATGCCGCTGATGCGGTGAAACGGTTAGCAGCGCGCTGCACTCCAACGGTTCTATTTCGTCTCCAGGTGAGTTTCTGAAATTCGCACGCCTCTGTCCACCCACCCAGCAGTCTAAATGGAGGTGGTGGAACAGCGTGAGGAGTGGGACTGGACTCTTCACGAGGAGCGCTGTAAAGCGTCCGTCATGCAATCAACTGCAGTCATGAGGGTGACTCTAGATCAGGGGTCGGCAACCAAAATAACAATAGGAACCATTTTTTTCGAATTCGGTAAAAAAATTCAATATTTCAAGAGCCGCCAATGCATGTCAATACGAGACGGTGGTCCTTAATAAGCCACAGGCGGCTCTGGAGCCGCAGGTTGCTCTCGATGGAGTGTGAGGAGGGTGGGTGGGTGGTTAAATAGAGCTGCAAGATGGAGGAGGAATCCACACTATCTGGTTCTTTCGGTAAAGTCACGTAGATAGAAAAAATAATAAAAGAAAACGCGACGTTTTGATCGCAACACAAGCGTCCGTCTTCAGGTGAAAAAAAATTATCTGCTGTTGTGGCTTTATATCAAGCTTTATAAAGCCACAACAGCAGATCATTTCTTCTCACCTGAAGACGGACGCGTGTGTTGCGACCGAAACATCGTGCTTTCTTTTATTATTTTTTCTACCTACGTGACTTTACCGAAAGAGCCAGAGAATATGAATTCCCGCAGTCACGAAAGCTTCAAATCAAGATGGAGGAGGAACTTCATCATCGCCATTAGAGCGTCGCTCTCACCACTTTGAGCTTCTGCAGGGATGCGGGGGTGATGGCGAACTTGACGATCGTGTCCAGCGTGGGCTCCGGCTGAGCCTACGATGCACAACAGAAATACAAGGGCCGGAAGCATACAGCAGAAGGAACGCCTGTGCCTCAAAGCAACAAGTGCCTGGGTTAAATTCCCAACTCGGGCACGGTTCTATGTGGAGCATGTTCTCTCCCCCTGTTCTGCATAGGTTTCCTCCACGTTCCACAGATTCATCCCATAGCTGCCGCCGATTAGCACTGCTGGCGATGTACAGGGCGAAAGAAGTTCAACATACATCCAGCTAAAAAAATCCTGCAATGTACCTGGTATTGGCCAAACATCCCAATGCTGAAAATATACCTGCAAATTACTCTTTTGGGATAAGACGCAGCAGCAGCATCAGGCGCTCCTGCGAAAAATTGGTAGGACGGTCCTAAAAAAGAGTCTTAAGACTCAGTGAGGCTTTCCAGAGTAAAATAAGCATAAATAAATATCCAATCGCTTCTGACCGGAGTGTGAACGATGAACTCGCAGGTTTTGTGAACGTCCTTGTTGAGCAGCGATCGCTTCATCTCACAGCGCAAAGTGTACTGCAGAGACATGCACAAAGACAAGCACAGAGACAAAGATCCCCCATATTGCATTAACAGACTGCTGGGGAAATTGCTGTTAGTGAGCACCTATGAATACTGGAACAATACACCCGGGGTGGGTAGCCAACACAAAGCTGTACCGCCAATGTCTCCCTAATGGAAAGGTTTACACACCACACCAGGTAATCATTTTAGGCTGAGTCGACTCAGGGAAGGCCCATGACCGGTTCAGATAATTGTCACTGATGTTGGCTGTGAGCGGAAATAGAACTCGGGTGGCCAGGTTTGTCGCGTAATGCGCTAACCACTGCACTACCGCTCCCCATAGATACGCATAGACACACGCAGAGAAAGGCACAGAGACACGCACACCACCGGAAACAGGTGTGCCGTGTTCCCGAGCGGTCAGTGGCATTACGTAACCATTGCCCGCGACGGCTTTGTCCGTGTCCGAGCCGAGCAGTTGCACAACAAAGATGTGCCTGGCCCACGTCCCTTGTCCGGTTAGTCCAGGGGGGGTTGGCAACCTGTGGCTCCGGAGCTGCATGCGGTTCTTTAAGGACTGCAGTGCTGCTCTTGAAATAGAGGTTTTTAAATCCTTTATATTAAGTTCACTTGCTTGCTTAGGACCGTGCAAATCTTTCGGTCGTTTTTTAACCCACTTCCCGTGATCCAATCGAGCTGACATTTTGCACAGACTCGTTGTGCGTGACAATTTATTTTCGTGAAAAAATGTTTCCAAAATTTTACACTTTTTAGGAAAAAATATTATATTTAATTACCAATTGCTTAATGCTGCCATGCAATCATCTGACCCATAGGTGGCAGCCATCTCAAGCCAGAGGACGAGAGGACTCTAGCCGCCACGCATATAAAGGATTTATAGTGAAAAACTTTGTTTTTACGGGTTATACTTGTTTTATTACCAAATTAGAAATAAAGGCTCTGCTTGTTATTTTGGTTGCCGACCCTTGACCTTCGGATATCAGTTTACCATGGGCAATGGTAGGCAACCTGAAGCTCATTTAGGATTGTTTCGTGACAATATTTATTAAGGACCATCTTGTATTCACATGCATTGCGGCCCTTGAAATGTTGAGGTTTTTTTTGACCGAATTCACAAAAAATGGCTCTTCTTGTTATTTTGGTTGCTGACCCCTGGATTAGCTCCACCCTCCACCCACGTCATCGGGATCGTAACGACCGATCGTAACTCGCGAACGTGTCCTGTGATTAAATATGTCAATGACAAATCGCCGGCTGGATCGACGCTTGGAAGTCGAAGTCCATCTCATCTCCAAAGCAACCAGTTGCAGACACGTCACCAAACAAGCATGTTCTGTTGCAATGCAACCGAGCTGTGTGAGCGATCGCTCAGGTGTGGGCCCGGCATCACGGACGTACGGACGCACGCAAGCAGCAAACCCCTACAGCGGGTGTGCGTGCACGTGTAGTGACATAAGAGGGGAGGGGCTGCTGGGGGCTCTGGGACCCTAGGCAACCCAGACGCTTAAGCCCCTTGGCGCCAGGCGCTAGGTTCCCAGGCAACCCAGATGCTTAAGCCCCTTGGCGCCACCAACGGGGGGGGCTGTGTGTGCTCTGTGGGATATCTGGGGGCGCACACAACCCCACCCCTCGTTGGGGACGAGGCATAAAAGGGCAGCTCCCTGGACAATCGAGGCCAGTTGTAGCTCAAGACCCAAGACCCAAGACCAGCCATCTCAGGTACCTGGGACGATGTGAGGACCAGTGGTGGGACTCTGGAACTCCCGGCTCTATGTCCTTGTGAGGGCGAGTTCCAGAGCGTAGCCAGAGTAGTGTATCTAGGCTGTGTACCTATGTAGTGGGTTCGAATTAGGTGCACACACACGCAACTTGGAGGCAACACTATTTATTAAACGGTAAGTAATATAACACTGTACATGAGGTGGTGACCACCTTCCTCAACTCACTAACACTCTGGAACGCGACACAGACTGGACCAGGCAGGCAACGGCCTGCCTGGCCCAGGACGACGACTCGGGACTTGACGACCAATGATGTCTTCACTTCGGAGTACAGTACAACAGCCTTGCTCTGCGTTTACACCACGCTTATATCTGCTTTGGCGTGGCCGGCTCCGCCCAGGCGTGGCCGGCTCTGTCCAGGCCACGCCTCCCTTCCCAGGCCACACCTCCCTTCCCCCACCTCTGGGAAGGTCCGGATCCCTCCACCACGTGACCCCCCAGGCACCCCCTTGGGGCCCCCAGCCCTCGTACGGGCCGACACAGTAGTGACCGTTCTGTCACTACATCACCCCCCCCTGTATAAACACACAGCCGTCCCCGGCTGTAACACAACTGTGAACATCGAAAAGGTGTGCCTCCGAACCAGCAACATCAATAAATGACCGGCGTCTGATAAGAAATACAATCACATAATATATACAGAATCGACGAGGGTAAAAGGAAGGAAACCGCATAGAAAATGGGGAATTAACAACAAATATACATTAAAACTGGCTAACCCACTTACGCTCCAGCACAGCCCCCCCCCCCCCCCCCCCGTTAGAATCACGCATGCAATGACAGTCACCCGTTACCACCCCACCGCCTTTCCGACGTGGCGTCACAACCAGTAGCACGCGTCGGCCATATCGGGCGGGGGAATTTTCATGTTACCACCCCACCGCCTTTCCGACGCGGCGTCACAACCAGCAGCACGCGTCGGCCATATCGGTGGGATTTTAACCCAGTCTCTCTCCAAGACTCGCATCGCAGCATATAGCTGTACCGACCGAGCTGAGACGACCCAGTCTCTCTCCAAGACTCGCATCGCAGCATATAGCTGTACCGACCAAGCTGAGACGACCCAGTCTCTCTCCAAGACTCGCATCGCAGCATATAGCTGTACCGACCGAGCTGAGACGACCCATCGTTCACTCACTGCACAACATGCACCCTAACAACTGAGGGATACAGTCCCAACGTAACAGGACAACTCCACCTGAACCTTACGAATCTCCAGCCCACTGTTTCAACGCGCCTCGGAGGGTCTCAACCTCCGAGCCGTCAGGTCAAGCTGTCAGCCATAGCATGACGGGACCACAGTCCCTGAGCCATGTGAGCGCACAGCCCACAAGGCTAGACAAGCCACAGAGTGTCTCGATCTCCGGGCTGTCAGGTCAAGCCATCAGACACAGCATGATGGGACCACACTCTCCGAGCCATGTGAGCGCACAGCCCACTAGGCTAGACAAGCCACGGAGTGTCTCGATCTCCGGGCTGTCAGGTCAAGCCGTCAGACACAGCATGACGGGACCACACTCTCCGAGCCATGTGAGCGCACAGCCCACTAGGCTAGACAAGCCACGGAGTGTCTCGATCTCCGGGCTGTCAGGTCAAGCCGTCAGCCATTGCATGACGGGACCACACTCTCCGAGCCATGTGAGCACACAGCCCACTAGGCTAGACATACCACGGAGTGTTTCAATCTCCGGGCTGTCAGGTCAAGCCGTCAGCCATAGCATGACGGGACCACAACGTTCATGTTAGACACGCAACACTCACTGGGCCATCCTGGTCAGGATCTGCGCCCCAAGATTAGTGACAGCCAGCACCACAATTCCAAATCCCTGGCAGCATGTCACCATCGCAATTTAACACCATCACAACACATACAATTTGAATTATGATCCCCCACAGAACTGATCCAATGGCGAACAGGTACGCACAATTTGTGACGATCCCGAATATTCAATGGTCACAACAATACACCTCACATCCCGTATCCGTACACATCATCTCCGAGACTCGCATTGCAGCATGCAGCTGTACCAACCGAGTGGAGAGAGCAACGCAATTTGACGGCAATTAACGGAAACGCACCCCCGATCCATGTAGAACACAAGGAGCATTCCCGCACAAAAGACATCATCTGTGCAACAACGGACAGGAACCAACCAGTGAGTTTGAACAAACCGAACCTGTCATTTCAAAATCCCCTTCAACATTAACCATGGGACTCAGGGCATTCGAATCTTGAGAGCAAAAAAACTATACACAAACCCCAAGAATCGCCGAATTGATTAATACAGTATATGCAGTATACGAAGTTCGTACAGTCAATCATTTGGCGCAATGCTCCATCCAGTCCCCACATGGCAACACACACAATCAATACTCCAGACAATCCGTACATAGTAAATAATCACAAGCAAGTACCCAACATTCCATACACTGTTAACAATTCCAAGCAAAGCTCCATACGGTCTGTACCTTGGCAACAATGATGATCAAAGTTTCTTACAGTTACACGTGAACAATCACGAGCGAAACTCCATACAGTATACACAATAACAATGGCGATTTCGCAACAAAACGATGTAACAACACGAGTCCTTAACACGGCAACCTACAGGATATCAACGGAGCTCGGGACACCAACAACGAATTAATCATTAACTACACCCAGAAGATACCGATCTCGACGCCGTATTTAACAACGCCGTTACAAGCAGACACCCGCATGGAAGCCGCGTCAGTTTATGACGCAACACAACCGGACAAACACGCTCCGCAACCCAGCGAGTTAAAAAAAACACCCGCGATCGCAACCGGGCACACGCAAGATGGGTGAAGTTATTATTATTTTTCTTGGGGCCGGGTGCTTGTCATGTCACGACTCGCCTGGCAAACTGTGAATAGCGGAGGGCGGCAAGGTGGAGCACTGGAACGGCCCGAAGAATCTTTCATGGTGAACACGGCCTGCTCTTGCGAACCCATCCACCTCTCGCGCTCGAGCAGAAGGCTGGAACTCCCCCTCTGCAGGCGTTGATGTCGGCGGGAGCGGCATTTCGGCAGCAGGAGCGGCGTTTTGGCGGGAACCGCGCCCCGACCAGTCCTCGAGTTGGCGGGAGCGGCGTTTTGGCGGGAACCGCGCCCCGACCAGCCCTCGAGTTGGCGGGAGCGGCGTTTTGGCGGGAACCGCGCCCCGACCAGCCCTCGAGTTGGCGGGAGCGGCGTTTTGGCGGGAACCGCGCCACGATCAGCCGCCGAGTTGGCGGCCCCACCGCGTGGCCCGCATGCCCGGGCCTCCCCCCGCCAGCCACCGCAGAGACGACGGTGTCCTCTCCCCGCGGCTCCATCGCTCCGTTCCCTATGGCGGCGAAGCAGCGGTGCGATGCCAGTCCCGCCGCTCCGCGTGCAGCGCCATCTCTCTCTCTCTCTGTCACCGGGGCTGCCATCCCCGGGGCTGTCCGAAGGATGGTCGTCACACCATCCCCGTCGTACGAAGGCGTCCAGATGAGGTTTGTCTTTGTTTTTCGTGTGCCCATTTTACTTCCCTAGGATAACACCTAGCAATATTTATATTTCCACAACTTCTGACGCCAAATGTAGTGGGTTCGAATTAGGTGCACACACACGCAACTTGGAGGCAACACTATTTATTAAACGGTAAGTAATATAACACTGTACATGAGGTGGTGACCACCTTCCTCAACTCACTAACACTCTGGAACGCGACACAGACTGGACCAGGCAGGCAACGGCCTGCCTGGCCCAGGACGACGACTCGGGACTTGACGACCAATGATGTCTTCACTTCGGAGTACAGTACAACAGCCTTGCTCTGCGTTCACACCACGCTTATATCTGCTTTGGCGTGGCCGGCGCCGCCCAGACGTGGCCGGCTCTGTCCAGGCCACGCCTCCCTTCCCAGGCCACGCCTCCCTTCCCCCACCTCTGGGAAGGTCCGGATCCCTCCACCACGTGACCCCCCAGGCACCCCCTTGGGGCCCCCAGCCCTCGTACGGGCCAACACAGTAGTGACCGTTCTGTCACTACACCTAGGCTGCGTACCTAGGCTGTAACAGAGTATCAGGACTGTTGGAGTGTTGGATTGTAATAAAGAAATTACCTCTACAAGTGTCTCCGGAACCCATTACACACGTACGAGCGCTGCGTACCTGGATGTTGACGTAGACTCCGTGGTAGGTCTCGAACAGGACCTTGCTGCTGCCGCTGGCTTTCAGAGGGAACTGGAAGGGTATCTCCGTGCGCCCTGATGGCAGTTTCCCCGGCTTCACTACCTCCATGGAACTGCTGACGAGCTGCACGGGCTGTGAAGAAACATCGACGGCAACGAATCCCGTGAACAGACGCGGGGGCGGTGTCGAACGTGCGATGGCGCAGCCTGACCGGTTTGAGCGGAGCGCTGTGATGTGACGCTATCAACTATAAACGAAAGACATACAGTACCCTGGCGTCTACAAACTAAGTTGCCTCTGTGGTAGCAGTTACATTGGAGAAACCAAACGACATGTCTCGGACCGCATCCGTGAACATAAGGCAGACCTGAAACACGGTAGGACAAACACCTCAGCCGTGGCAGATCACTGTTACAATTCAGTGGGCTCACATGACATTGACTTCTCCAAGACAGAGGTTCTCTGCAAGCCATCTGGCTATCATGAGAGATTCGTTCATGAGGCGATCCACATATACAAACACAGAGACAATTTCAACCGAGAAGATGGATTCTGGCTTAGCAATCATTGGAAGGACGTAATAAACCATTTCGGATCTTAACTGATTGTGTTCACGTTTACGGTGACTTTCAGACCACGTTCCACTCACTGGCATGGTGCAGTGTGCAGAGTAATGTATGGTGTCGTAATTGTACAGTAAACATATAGCAGTATGATACACATTAGGGTGGGTAGAATAATACATAGTGTTATATTAAAATGGATAAGGCAGCAACTGCAGCAGCAGCAGCAAGTGCAGCAGCAGCAGCAAGTGCAGCAGCAGCAGCAAGTGCAGCAGCAGCAACTGCAGCAGCAGCAGCAACTGCAGCAGCAGCAGCAACTGCTGCAGCAGCAGCAACTGCTGCAGCAGCAGTAACTGCAGCTCCCTTTGATGCTGTTAATCCTGCATAATGCACATGCATATGCAGTACTAATCACATTCCTGCATTTCCCATAAATATGCTAAATTCCTTTTGATATGCAAATTCCTTTGTCAATGCGCCCAGCTTATATATATGCTCCAAGCTCGTGTGCTGTTTCATTCAGACTCTGTCGCCTCGACGGACCTGGTTTTCACCTGAGGACGGCTGCTTGCGTTGTGGCCGAAACGTCGTGAGAATTGTTTTATTATGTTTTATTTTTATTATTTTATTACTTCCCTTCTACGTGACTTTACCGAAAGAACCAAGAAGATATAAACGAAACTTTACACTTTACCAGGCAAGGCCCACTGAGCTATATGATTCTTATTCAGAAGTGACCTGGCCACAAATGAAAGCACAATGAAGTGGCTTATCACGCGCAAATTTATAGCAGCCAATACTCTAAACACGTGATGTTGATTCTAAATGTGGAGGGAATAACCAAAGGACCCGGACAAAAATCGACGCAACCATGGGGAGCACATGCAAGCTCCAAATATGCAGGTGTAGGGTCGGGATCGAACCCAGGACCTCCTGCATACCAGGCGAGGGAGATAACATCTCGCCACCACAGTGCCCCTAGGAAGGCAGCAGCGTGTTAGATGGGCCGCTGCTGGAACCCGTGGCAGCCAAGCGAGGGAACGAGGCTGACCGTGGAGGTGGAGCGAGAGATGGAATTAGTCGGTGTGCGGGTGCCGGATGGATTATTGCATCGCGGAATCTTGAGAGGAAGCGGTGGTGTAGTGGTGAGCGTGCTGCACTATGAACCCAGTGACCCGAGTTTAATTCCTGCTCACGGCCATAACCAGTGACAATTATCTAAACCAGTCCTGGGCCTCCCCTAGGTCAACTCAGCCACCCACCTCCTCGTGTACCATGCCGGCCTTCATAGGTGCTCGCTAACAGCACTTGCCCCTACAGTCTGCGAAGGCGTTGTCTTTTGTGACATTGCGGGATCGTGAGAGATGGTGGCAGCTTGGGAGGCCTTCACCTCATAGTGGATTGACCATGGCCGATGATGATGATGATGACTTGACAATGATGACGATGATGGTGACGACAGTGAGGACGATGATGATGATTAATAATGGATTTGAAGGCAGAGCCGTGGGTTGGGAGCGCGGCGGTGGCGGTGGTAGTGGTGGCGGCGGCAGCGACAGCGGTGGTGGCCCTGGTGGTGGCGATGTTGGTGGTGGCGGTGTCGTTGGCACTGGTGGTGGTGGCAGTGGTGGTGGTGGCGGCGTCGAAGTTGGCAGCAGAGGTGGCGGTAGTGGTCGTGGTGATAGTGGTGACGGTAGTGGTGGCACCGGTGACAGCGGTGGTGGCAACGTGCACCTTGGCGGAGTTGTAGAACGCCTCGAAGACGCCCACGCTCTTGGAGCTGAGCTGCAGCGTGACCGTGCCCTCGAGCGCGAGGGAGATGCCCTGGTGCTGGACGGTGTCTCTGCCCTGGATTACCACGAGCCCCGACACCGTCTCCTGCTCCGCGTGCACGCGCACACTCTCCGTTTGACTAGCTATCACACTGCTGTGACGCGGCTCTTAGAGGACGTCTACCGTGGAGATGGAGCGATGGAATGAGTTCGCGTGCAGGTGCTGCGTGGATTACTACACCACGGGATCGTGAGGGACAGCTTTCAGAGGTCTTCATCCAGCAGTGAATATATCATTGCCGATTATAAAAAGATGATCAGATGGCAACAATGATGATGTTTATGATGAAATGAGATGACGATGTGAAGAGGTGAAGAAGTGAGAGCGCCTCACCCCATCGTAGTAGACCTTGTTTGCACGCTTCAGTTTGATGTCCACGGCCACCGCCATCGCCCACACTCAGCTCCACAGCTCTGAGAAACACATGGGCAATCCACAAATCAGAGGTGTGGACTCGAGTCATGTGACTTGGACTCGAGTCAGACTCGAGTCATGAATTTGATGACTTCAGACTCGACTTGGACTTGCATAACAATGACTTTGTCCCACCTCTGAGGTGTGGACTCGAGTCATGTGACTTGGACTCGAGTCAGACTCGAGTCATGAATTTGATGACTTCAGACTCGACTTGGACTTGCATAACAATGACTTTGTCCCACCTCTGCCACAAATACACTGTAAACCTGTCTGATGGAAATCAATTCCACAAGAAACATAGTGCCTTGACATTTAGGGAGGGATGTACTTCAGGGAAAACCTAATTCCACCTCATTTCAAAGCTACGACCATCATATCTCCGGGGTCGATAAAAAATATCACTTTATGTGGGGTGAAGTCAGCAGTGGCTATAAAATGCATAGGCTTGTGGAATGTGGAATTTCGACCACTGGATCATCACTTTTAACAAGATGGGCACCAATGCCTCAATCTTTGAGGAAATTGGTGGCTGGGTGGGTTGGTGGCTGGGTGGGTGGGTTGATGGGTGACACGGGCGGTGGTGGCGCACGCCTGTAATCGAGCACTGTGGAGGCGAGGGTTGGTGGATGGCACAAATCCTGTGAATATCCCTTCCAATAGGCGTCGAGGTTCCATACCCTGGCTCGCCATGAGATGGCGGTACGGCAAGTGGACTAATCGCCTTCTCAAAGGGTTGCCCCCCTCACGCGCGTGGGGTATCTCCGGATGCTACGGCTTCCTCCCCACGTGTATGATAAACATAACTCGTCAATACGGCAATTGCCTGAAAATATCTCAACATAAAAACCCAACGCAGGAGTCTCTGCGAGCCAGCGCATCTCTCCCGGACGAACAGAAGACGTGTCCCCTCCTCACCCTCACTCACAGTAGCACTCACAGCACCTCACCCCCTCACTCACCCACCCTCAGTCCCTCACCCTCTCACTCACCCTGTCACTCACCCTCTCTCACCCTCACCCGGCCACTCACCCGGTCACTCACCCTCTCACTCACCCTCACTCACAGCAGCACTCACCCACCTCACCCCCTCACTCACCCACCCTCAGTCCCTCACCCTCTCACCCTGTCACTCACCCTCTCTCACTCACCCTCTCACTCACCCTCACCTGTCACTCGCCCGGTCACTCACCCGGTCACTCACCCTCTCACTCACCCTCACTCACAGCAGCACTCACCCCACCTCACCCTCACTCACCCACCCTCAGTCCCTCACCCACGCTCACTCACCCCATCTCATCCTCTCTAACTCACCCCGTCACCCTTTCACTGTCATTCAAGCACAGTCCCTCTCATGCTCTCTGCCTTTCTCACCCTTGCCCTCAGCCTCACATCCTCACTTCCTCACCCTCACTCACCCTCTCACTCACCCTCTCTCACCCTCACTCACCCTCTCTCACCCCCTTTCTCACTCAACCTCACTCACCGTCACCCCCTCTCACTCACCCCACTCTCTCAACCTCACTCACCCCTCTAACCCTCCCACTCACCCTCTCACTCACTCACCCTCACCCCCTCTCACTCACCCACTCACCCTGTCACCCTGTCACTCACCCTCTCACTCACCCTGTAACTCAACCTGTCACTCACACTCTCACTCTCACTCACCCTCACCCACTCATCCTGTCACTCACCCTCACCCACTCACCTTCTCACTCACCCTGTCACACACCCTCTCACTCTCACCCTCACTCTCACTCACCCTGTCACTTACCCTCTCTCTCACTCACTCACCCCCTCACTCACCCACCCTCACTCATCACACCCACTCGCCCTCTCACTCACTCACACTCACCCTCACCCACTCACCCTCTCACTCACTCACCCTGTCACTCACCAACTCACTCACACTCACCCTGTCACTCACACTCTCACTCTCTCTCACCCTCTCACTCACTCACACTCACCCTCACTCACCCTGTCACTCACCCTGACTCACACTCACCCTCTCACTCGCCCTCACTCACCCACTCACACTCACCCTCACTCACTCACCCTGTCACTCACCCTGACTCACACTCACCTTGACTCACACTCACCCTCTCACTCACCCACTCACCCTCTCACTCACTTACCCTCTCACTCACCTTCCCACTCATCCTGTCACTCACCCTGACTCACACTCACCCACTCACTCACCCTCTCACTCACACTCACCCTCTCACCCTCTCACTCACCCTCTCACTCACCCTCACTCACCCACTCACCCTCTCACTCACCCACTCACTCACCCTCTCACTCACCCTCTCACCCTCTCACTCACCCTCTCACCCTCTCACTCACCCTCTCACTCACCCGCTCACCCACTCACCCTCTCACTCACCCACACTCACCACTCACCCTGTCTCTCTCTCACCCAAACTCACCCTCACTCACTCACCCACTCACCCACACTCACCCTGTCTCTCACCCTCACTCACTCACCCACACTCACCCTGTCTCTCTCTCTCTCACCCACACTCACCCTCACTCACTCACTCACCCACACTCACCCTGTCTCTCTCTCTCTCTCTCACCCACACTCACCCACACTCACCCTGTCTCTCTCTCTCTCACCCACACTCACCCTGTTTCTCTCTCTCTGTCCCCGTCTCTCTCTTTGGGTCGCTCGCGAGGAGAGGGAAGCGGCGCCTCGACCACGTGACGGAGCCCGGGTGCGCGTTCGGAAACTCCATTCACGCGCCCTCCACCGTAATCTCTGGACTATGAGACGCATTTAGATCTTTAAAACAAATATTCGCGCGTGAGCGGCCAAACTTGTATAACTTTGTTGGGCGCCTTTTCTCATACAATAGTTGTGTGCCTAACCTGATTCGTGTTGCTTCATTGGCAGCTGGCACGAGTGTGACGCCGTGCGTCTCACCGCTCCATTGTTCCCTCTATTGTGGTGAATACGGTGATTCCCCGGGGTGCGTACAGAAACACCACTCGCATGGAAAACCATTCACTCCAGCGGCGCAGGCTGCGGCACGGGTACCGTGCAGGGGGAAAAAAACAAAAGGGTCAGCAGCCTCCTGTCGGGTAATAATGCTTCTCTACATCAGAGACACACACACTCACACAGATACCCACACAGAGAGACCCACACTCACACAGAGAGACCCACACACTCACACAGAGACACTCACACAGAGACACACACAGAGATCCACAGACTCACACAGAGATCCACACAAAGATCCACAGACTCACATAGAGACCCACACAGAGAGACCCACACTCACACAGAGAGACCCACACACTCACACAGAGACTCACACAGAGACCCACACAGAGACCCACACTCACACAGAGAGACCCACACTCACACACAGAGACCCACACACTCACACAGAGACCCACACAGAGAGACCCACACTCACACAGAGAGACCCACACACTCACACAGAGACCCACACTCACACACAGAGACCCACACACTCACACAGAGACCCACACAGAGAGACCCACACTCACACAGAGAGACCCACACACTCACACAGAGACCCACACTCACACACAGAGACCCACACACTCACACAGAGACCCACACAGAGAGACCCACACTCACACAGAGAGACCCACACACTCACACAGAGACTCACACAGAGACCCACACAGAGACCCACACTCACACAGAGAGACCCACACTCACACACAGAGACCCACACACTCACACAGAGACCCACACAGAGAGACCCACACTCACACAGAGAGACCCACACACTCACACAGAGACCCACACTCACACACAGAGACCCACACACTCACACAGAGACCCACACAGAGAGACCCACACTCACACAGAGAGACCCACACACTCACACAGAGAGGCCCACACACTCACACAGAGACCCACAGACACACACAGAGACCCACACACTCACACATAGACCCACAGACTCACACAGAGACCCACACACTCACACAGAGACCCGCAAATTCACACAGAGAGACCCACACACTCACACAGAGACCCACACACTCACACAGAGACCCACACACTCACACAGAGGTCCACAGACTCACACAGAGACCCACACACTCACACAGAGACCCACAAACTCACACAGAGAGACCCACACACTCACACAGAGACCCACAGACTCACACACAGACCCACAGACTCACCAGAGACCCACAGACTCACACAGAGGCCCACATACTCACACAGAGACCCACAGAGGCCCACATACTCACACAGAGACCCACAGAGACCCACAGACTCACACAGAGGTCCACAGACTCACACAGAGACCCACAGACTCACACAGAGGTCCACATACTCACACAGAGACCCACATACGCACACAGAGACCCATATACCCACACAGAGACCCATAGACTCACGCAGAGACCCACATACTCCCACAGAAACCCAGACTCACACAGGGACCCGCAGGCTCACACAGATCTACAGACGAGCACAAAGACACACGGACTCGCACAAATACGAACTCACACAGACTGGAAAATGGAACACCCGGATCACTACAAACAGAGATGAAAACTCTGGTTTGTGAACGTCTGGCAACGTCTCCTCGAATAATAAAGCCCTTGCAACCACAGCGATAGCTGCGTGTCTCCGTATCATGTCCAGGTCCAACTTCTAAACGATCCACTGACTCTCCTGTATTACAATGTGTGTATATTTTATTTTACGATGTTCACCTGTTGAAGGAGGGAACTGGAAGCAGGAGGTGTTCTGTGTTGGTTTTTGCGTTAGTGCTGTGCACGGCGAGCATAGGCACGGTTCACGTTCAGTCACCCACATAGCTCCACAGTAGCCATGAAGGTTGGGTTTTCCCCACTGCTTCAGATGTAGATGACAATGCGTGTTACTCACTGACGTCACACGCAAGGAATGTAAGTTTAATCTCGCCCCTGGCCCTGCTTGGCCCCGAACACATGCCGTTAGGCTGGCGCAGGGGTCGGCAACCTGCGGCTCCGGAGCCGCGTGCGGCGGCTCTTCAGGGACTGCTTCGGAGCGTCATTTATGAAGGACCACCGTCTCGTATTCACCACATGCATTGCGGCCTTTTACCGAATTCGAAAAAAAAATGACTGTCCTTGTTAGTTTGGTTGCCGACCCCTGGGGTTGCACATCGTGGTTTGGTTTCTGGCTTCGCGCCACAGATCGCCGGTGGAGAAGCCACCCCCAGCCGCGAGGGCCCCGTGCCAGACTCGGCCGAGAGGCGCCAGCGGGAAAGAGGCATCGGACAACAACCCACGGGGCCACGGACGGTGATCGCCACCACCACAATGGGAGGCACAAACAACCCTGCCCGATATCGGGCTGGGCGAGCGCCGTGCGTATTTATGGTGCAGCAAACACGAGTCGGCGGCATTCTTGCTTTTAACGAGACGCACCGGGGAGCCGTAAACGCTGCACTTTTACGGCTCGTGGCGAGTCGCTCGCACCGCCCCGGCGACCGGAGCCACGTGGACGCTTCGTGCCGAGTCCGGACGAGGGCTCACGGCCGCTGGGGCAGACTTGAGAAGTGCCTTCGAACGCGCGCCGGCGTTAAAACCCGGTCACGGTCGCTCTTTTATGACTCGTCGTGCACAAAAGTGTCCCCCGTTAATGATTTGAGCTGAGCGGCTGCGTTGCGAAGGCCGACTTCTCTACCTAGCCTTTCAAATACTTCGCCGCCTTTTTGCTTCTGATCGTAAAAAAATTAAGCATCGCTCGTCTATAGCGGCCCACCTACAAGCGAGGCTCGAGCCGCGTCACACTTGACACTAAGGTTTATGCGGCCACTATTAACGGTTCATGGTTTATTTTCTTTGGGTTGGACTGCGCCATGATCTGGTCGTAATTATGGTGTTGGTGAACCCCTTTGAACTCCCCGACAAAGACAAACAAATTAAATTCTCACGCCGTGTACACGCGATCAGCGCCCCCGTGGTTACCGTGGTGGCGAGATGTTAACTACCTCGCCTGGTGCACAGAAGGTCGTGGGTTTGATCTCTACCCTGATGCCTGTATATTTGGAGTTTGCGTGTCTCTCCGTGGTCGCGTGGATTTTTCTCCGAGTCTTCCGGTTTTTCTCTCCAGATTTAGAATCAACATCACGCGTTCAGAGTATTTGGATGCAATAAATGTCCACATGATAAGCCATGTAATTATTTCTGATAAAATTAAAAATAGTTTAAGTTTAAACATTTTAGCAATTATTCACGTGCAATTACGCAGATGTAGTATGAAGCCAAAGCGTGAAACAGGATAACCTTTGGTTCTTTCGGTAAAGTCACGTAGGGGAAAATAAAAAATAAAAATTCTAAATAAGAATTAAAAAATATATATATATAAATCACTAAATTAAATCACGACGTTTCGGAAGCAACACAAGCTTCCATCATCAGGTGGGACAACCACAGCAAGAAACAAATTACTGTAGTGGGCAAAGAGAGCTGTTTGTGACAAGCGATTATCACAGGACCCTGCGGGGTGGGCTGGTAGGAATAACACTTAGTACCGGTACAGGGATATCGACCGGGTATAGAGGAGTAAAAGACAAAATTACTGTATTCTAGTGTAACGTAATTAAAAGTGTTTGTTTTGACAAGAAACGCTGTAAGATTTAAAGACCCCTCACCACCAGCCCCCACCACCAGCCCCCACCACCTTCTGCACTAGGCCTCGCGAAGCCTGCCGCACTAGGCCTTGCGAAGCCTGCCGCACTAGGCCTCGCGCCGTGCTTTTCGTGCACAAATAAGGTGATTAAATGTATCTCGTCTCTGTGTTAATAAATGTTTCTTGTCTCTGTGTTAAAAAAACGTGCTGCGTTTCAAGAAAGTATTTTTTTTTAAATAAACGTGCTGCGTTTCATCTCTGTGTTAATAAGCCTGCCGCACTAGGCCTCGCGAAGCCTGCCGCACTAGGCCTTGCGAAGCCTGCCGCACTAGGCCTCGCGCCGTGCTTTTCGTGCACAAATAAGGTGATTAAATGTATCTCGTCTCTGTGTTAATAAATGTTTCTTGTCTCTGTGTTAAAAAAACGTGCTGCGTTTCAAGAAAGTATTTTTTTTTAAATAAACGTGCTGCGTTTCATCTCTGTGTTAATAAGCCTGCCGCACTAGGCCTCGCGAAGCCTGCCGCACTAGGCCTCGCGCCGTGCTTTTCGTGCACAAATAAGGCGATTAAATGTATCTCGTCTGTGTGTTAATAAATGTTTCTTGTCTCTGTGTTAAAAAAACGTGCTGCGTTTCAGTAAAGTAAATTTTTTTTAAATAAACGTGCTGCGTTTCATCTCTGTGTTAATAAGCCTGCCGCACTAGGCCTCGCGAAGCCTGCCGCACTAGGCCTCGCGCCGTGCTTTTCGTGCACAAATAAGGCTATTAAATGTATCTCGTCTCTGTGTTAATAAATGTTTCTTGTCTCTGTGTTAAAAAAACGTGCTGCGTTTCAGTAAAGTTTTTTTTTTTAAATAAACGTGCTGCGTTTCATCTCTGTGTTAATAAGCCTGCCGCACTAGGCCTCGCGAAGCCTGCCGCACTAGGCCTCGCGCCGTGCTTTTCGTGCACAAATAAGGCGATTAAATGTATCTCGTCTCTGTGTTAATAAATGTTTCTTGTCTCTGTGTTAAAAAAAAACGTGCTGCGTTTCAGTAAAGTAATTTTTTAAATAAACGTGCTGCGTTTCAGTAAAGTAATTTTGAAGCAAAGTTTAAAGTTTTGCCGTGAGGCGCCGGAAGCGACGGCCATCTTGTTTAATTCACATATCGCAG